CACTGTTCACGATTAGTATTGTATATAGGATTTACTAGATTGATCACTGTTCACGATTAGTATTGTATATAGGATTTACTAGATTGATCACTGTTCACGATTAGTATTGTATATAGGATTTACTAGGTTGATTACTGTTCACGATTAGTATTGTATATAGGATTTACTAGGTTGATCACTGTTGACGATTAGTATTGTATATAGGATTTACTAGATTGATCACTGTTGACGATTAGTATTGTATATAGGATTTACTAGATTGATCACTGTTGACGATTAGTATTGTATATAGGATTTACTACATTGATCACTGTTGACGATTAGTATTGTATATAGGATTTACTAGATTGATCACTGTTGACGATTAGTATTGTATATAGGATTTACTAGATTGATCACTGTTCGGTATCTTTAATTTTTTCCTTATTTAAAAATATCAAACATTTCCAGCTTTTTTAATATCCAAATCCTTACATTAATATTCAAGTTGGGTTTCTTTTTCTACATACATTATCTAGCAGCAGTCAATTAATTAATTAATTTTTTTTATAGGTTATCAATGAGATACCTATCTCTTTTTAGTACTCCTTGCATTTTGTTCTTTAAAATACATTGCATTGTAATTAGATAAATAATGATTAAAAGTTTAAAAACGAGAATAAGTTGTCATGGTCACTTAATAACTGTAATGTCAATAAATAAATCTCTCTCTCGATCGACATTTCCGGTGTAGTACATGTAATATTACATGGACATATCACTAAGCAATATTTCAAGCTAAACGTAAAAACGATTGCATCAACTTCCTACTTCCGTGAGTATGTACATTATCAATCGTATGCCTGTATACACACAAACAACATCTGATTAAATATCCATGGAAACAGATCGATTTTTATATATCAACTCATATCGACAAAACGTTGAACAAAGTGAAAAGTTAATTAAAGAAAATGGTAAGTTCAGATTTTTTTAATTTTCTAAAAATTGATGAATGAATATTGGGTCACTGAGAGATATCCACCTGTTTAAAACACATTTATGTTAGAGAAAATTTCATATTGCAAAGTCATCTGTGCCCATGCTCTGGAGATGACTAGCCTAAATATTGTCCATGTTCAAATGTACCAATAAAATAATAAAATGACATCTCAGCAGATAGTCGCCCGCGTGGCACAGTGGTTAGAGCGTTTGCTCTAGAGTCGCGGAGTAAGAATTTGATCCTTCCGTCGCGGGTTCGAATCCCACTGTGGGACGTGGAGACCGATCCTTCGGATGAGACCGTATAAACCGAGGTCCTGCGTCGCAGTAGGTGCTGGCATGAAAAAGATTCCTCACTGCTCAATGGCCCAGAGTACCCAGTATAGGTCAAAATTTGCAGCTTTCCACCGGCAAGTGGTGGCGTCTCCATATGAGTAAAACATTCTCGAGAGGGACGTTAAACAACAAACAAACAAAATTGATTAAGATTATTCGAATGTAATGCATTAATTTAAAGATATCGCTCAGTAAGTAGCTCTGGGAAATATTGCTTTTCTTTTTACAATCCATGGAGAGTACGTCTCCGAATATGTTTATTAAACTTGCACGGATGATACAGTTCAAGATGTATACTATGGATATTTTTGTATTCCATTGTCCCTACCTCCGTTGAGCTTGACCATCAATATAAATGAATCTTCAGAATCTTCTCCTTTATTACTGGACATCTAACAAGAAAACTTGTGGCATGATTTTAATGAGTACTCAACATTTTACCACAATTGCAAAACTTCCTGGCACCCGGGTACATGGTTAAGGCGTTAGGATGCGATTTTATTGGTCATATATTGAAAATACATTATATCTTTGAAAATCTTCTCTATATATTCAAGGACATAAATCAGGCAAACTGTTCTCATGATTATTAAAAACTTAGCATCCTGCAAAATTAGGAAATTCATGGCTTCCTAGTTCATAGTTCAGGTCCCAGAGGGGGGCAAAGATGGTCATATATTGAAATTAAATACGTTAAATCTTAATTTGAAAATCTTCTTTACTCTTGGATATCTAGCAGAAAATACTGCATAAAACTCATGTCCCCTGGATTCGTCGTTCAAGCGCCAGGGTGGGGATAACTGTGTCATACATTAAAAAAAAAATACATTTGATATTTGAAAATCGTCTTTAATTTTGGACATTTAGCAGACAAATTATCAAAGATCTAAATATATTAAAACAAATACCTTATCTATTTTTAATGTTTTATTCGAGTTGGCAGGTATTGTCCATAATGTTCTTCACAACAGTGGTCAAAGGTATGATGAAAAAAATTACATATTTGAAAATCTTCCCCTTTACTCATTGACATCCAGCAGGTGAACGTTTTGCAGGATTACAATGAGTTCTTAAATTTTTACCAAAAACTGTGAAATCCATGGCTCCTGGGTCTCTGCTTCAGGCACCAGAGTGAATTAAAAATACAGCGTTGTAAATCTTCTTTTCTTTATAGTTCTTATTGTGGACAATTACTTAGCGAGTATACTGTATGATTACAAAGAGTACTTCACATTTTACCAAAATTGTAAAAGACATGTACCCTGGGTCCAACGCTCAGGCCCCAGGCTAAGATGGTCACGTATTGAAAATATACAAATAGTGTAACTTTGAAATCTTTGCTTGAGGAATCTAGCAGAATTTTTTGTGTTTGCATGATTATAATTAACCCTTAGCCAGAATTGCACAATTCACATCCCCTGGCCAATGTTTCACACTCCAGAAGGGTGAGGCTACATTGGTCATTCAGTTAAGAAAATAGTAATGAAGATTTTCAAAGATGACAGCTAGAGCATGTCCTTGAGTATCGAATAATATGACATAAACACCATATGCAGGTGATAGCGGAATATTACAACATAAATAAGGAATGTTGACAATAAATAAGCTGGCCATCTCGTTCTTCATACAAATTAGTTGATAGTTGGCCCTTATCGTCTATAGTCAGTAAAACATCCAAATTTGAAACAGATGTGACAGATTCTGTGCTGTTTTTTATTTCGAGTTTACTGGGATATATATAGAGTCGGCATATGAATATATGAATGAAGTATAACGTCGTCGATATATCTGAACGTCTAGCTGAAGACGACCACAAGTGTTTTCTTCTTCTCACGTAGAAGTTTTTGAATAATTTCTGCTTCATAGCATAATAAGAACAGATCGACTGATAAAGGAGCACAATTATTTGCACAATTAGCAGCTATCCCTCTACAAATACAAAATCAATATCCCCTTAGTCCAGGGATCAGACCCTAAGGTTTTGCTAAGTTGGTCATTATACAGCCAATACATTACTCTTTTTACCTCTACACAATGACACCATAAGGTGCAGTACCTGACATCATCAATAATACTGTCATATTGTACATTTTGTATTTACTATCAACCCATCTTCACAATTTCAAGGTATATTTTGTGTGAAACACGTAATCACATATCCATTCCGTTGTGAATGTTCTACCGCCCAATAGATTCTAGTTACATGTACAAAAATTTGACACTATCATTCCACTAACAGCGTGTCACTTTGTTTGGTAAAGCGTGCTAAAGTTTGAAATGTTGATCACCGTATTTCTCATCGACTGGAAGTTTGATTTCAAAGAAATTAATACTACTTTGCACATGAAACAGAGAGCCCAGCAATACACTGATAATAATGACCAATCGCATTGAATGATAGTTTGCGAGTACGACATTTGTAGTAAGCAACAACACGTGGCCAGTCAAAGACCATTGCTGGCTTCTCTGTTCATATGCAATTAAAGAAGCATTCATTTCATTGAAATCAAACATCCAATCGATGAGAAATATGGTGATCCGATTCCACTGAATAAAGTTTAATAATACTTTCACAGAATATTTGTTACATAGTGCCATTGTGCACCTCCTATTTTACTTTTTGATCGGACATATATTTCGGGTTTCCCCCCCTGACATTCTTTCTATAATATTGGGGATGCCCATTTATCCACAATTCTTCCTATATTACTGAGTAAAATTAAATGATACTTTCACAGAAACATTACATCGTGCCATTTGCACCTCCTGTTTTACTTTTTCGTTTGACACATATTTCCCATAGTCCCCAAGGTTTCCCATAGAAAAACATCTTAGACAATGTCATTCTTTTTATAAAATCAGGGGTACGCATTTCTTATCCACAACTCCTCCTATACCATTACATAAAATTTAAAGATACTTCACAGAATCTTTATTACATAGTGCCATTGTGCACTCCTTACTTTAGGTTTAGATCGAACAGATATTTGGATTTTCTCATAGCAAGAAATGGACTCATATGGAAGCGGGGGTATCATTTTGTGAGCTCATTGCTCACAGTTCCTCTAGTTATATTTAATACGACACTCATGACTTAGATTTGTCTAAAAGTATGTTTGAAAATTTATACTATTGGCATGCTATTTTTACAAGTATACAGTCGATTATTAGCAAAAAAGTTCTTTTTGCAATTCGCAAACTTTAATGGGATTCAGCTAAGAAATCCATTGACACCATTGAACGATAAAATAGTTCACCCTTTAACTGATAAACAGACAAGAAACATGAAAAAATAAACAGGGGACAAAAAAACATTTACTTTATTAAAGACCATTTAACCTGTAGGATTTTCAACAATAGCTACACACTAAAGCATTCATTAAATATCGGTCATTATGGTAACAACTAGTATTTTTATCTATGATACTTTTATGTTAACCATTGAATTGGATGTACACATGTGGAACCTATCGATTTCTTATCCACGTGTTCTCATTTACAGTACATCGTACAAGTGGGAATAAACTAACACGAATACGAGCGGGAGTAAACGTCTGCTGCTACTGAGCATTTCCCGCGGGAAAGAGCAATCTTAGTAGGAACGGTCTCTTCTGGAGCTGCAAAAGTTCAACAAGAGCCAAAATGGTCGACGATAAGGGGAGTCCACATAGGCCTTATCCTATTGATTCTTATCATTATGGTTTACTGTGAAGAAGCCATTGTATCACAAAGGAAATTTGTGTTCATTATTTATGAATTAGATAAAGAAAAAGCTGAAAGTTTGACGAACACAGACGGGACTCTGAATGTAGAGCTATGAAAGGTAAGAATTTATGTTACAGTATATCAGTCTGTCGTTACAAGTTGTGCTTTATGCTTCTTTTATTATAATAGTGAACGTCAAATTGTAGAATAATGGAAAACATGCATCTTAATTAAAGTATAAGACAGATATGATCCCATAATACTTAGGTAAACAGGTCTCTGTTTTTACTTCGTTCATCCGAAGTAACACAAGAGGTTGTGGTATACAGGGTATTAAAGAGACTTTCCACATCACAAAGCATTACATTTTACGATCAAGTTTCTGAAACATATTTAGATAGCCCTTGTGTAATTGTCACAACCAATTACATTTATGAGCTATTGAATAAACAAAGGGGTTTAATTTGTTGGTTATATTCTACTTTAAAAGATTAAATCTAGTGGAGTATAATTTTAGATATTTAACGATTTTAAGATAACAATGTTTTGTCACATCTATTCAGCAACTTACATGCTGGTTTGAATTGCAAGTTTAGGCGGGAATATAAATTTTCACATTGTGTACATCAACTTTTAATCTGTCAGGAGATTTTTTTCTACTGTGGTGTTTTATCTAAATTAATTTAAGTTTTTATTTTTTACAGTTTTCCACATTTTCGACATGAATTTGATTGTGGAAATTCAAAACTATCTGAAACAAAAATGGTGCTCTCCTCGGGACACACTTCATGTTTCTAAAGTTCCAAAGGTATTACGGGAACCTGCCATCTTTACGGGTTATCGTCCCGTCAACAGGTCGTGGCGATATTACTTCTTCAGTCTTTTTCGTGTCCACAATGAAACTTTTAACGTCTGGAGCCACCTTGTAGGCATTTTAGCGATCTTTCTACTACTTTGGAATCTCTCAGACACCTACGGATTTACAAGGAATAAGCATATATGGCCAGTCTTAACATTTGGCGTGTGTGCGATCATAACAAGCATGCTTAGTTCTGTCGCCCATTTATTTCATTCCAAATCTACGGATGTTCATTATACGATGTTCTTGCTAGACTATATTGGAGTGACGTTTTACTCTTATGGTACCGGTGTTATTGCAATGTATGCCTGTTCAACAAAAACATTTTACGACAATTGGTCACAGCACTACCTCCCAGCACTAGTTATTGCCTGCTGGCTTTCTTACATTGTTCTGTGTGTAGCGAAATGTCTTTATGGGGAAAATCCATTTAATCTTTCCCGGAAACTTTTACAACTTGGAGGTATTTTTATCCTCTCCGTACTGCTGATTGCTCCGTTATTTGATAGATATATGGCGTGTTTTATGCAAAGATCCTGTTCAATATCTTCACTTCATCATATCAGTATTTGTATACTCCTTTTCGCTTTACAAGCCTTCTTCTTTGGCAGCCATTTTCCTGAAAAGTTGTTTCCGGGTAAATGTGACATCCTAGGTCAAGGACACCAGATTTTCCATATTCTAAGTACCATAACCCAGGCGACCCAGATCCAGGCTGTTATCGTTGACATGGAGTCCGGGCACTCTGACCATACTGACCCAGTGCTCTCACAGCTTTTTGTTTATGGTATCCTATTGATGGCCTTGTCACTACTCACATTCCTATATGCACGAAGATTTAGACTTAGCAGAACATTTTAAGTTTGTTATTTTGTTCAATTCGTGATTTTTAATGATGACAATCGCTCTATTTATTTTGTAACTTCATTCCGATGAGTCTTTCAGTCACTTTTCTAGTCCGATATGTATGTCAGTGTCTTGTTATGAAATGCCATATTGTCTGTTCGATTATATCGTTTCTTGTGAAGGGTATTCTGTGATGAATAACATTTGTAAACACCAGTAATTTAAAGAAGCAGAATAACTGACCAAAACATGGAATGGGACATCGTTATATCAATATTTAAGACCAATTTGCTGAATTGAATTCAGTTTAATATATATACTCAGGTATAAAATACAGAGAGTGAAAAGGGGGTTGGGGTTCACGTGCAATTTACGGTTGTTTTGCTTACACACAGAGAGAGATTCACATGCAACACCAGACTATTTTTTTTTTACTTTTATACACTCTCATGTGTTTTAAATATTTTTTTTTTACTTTGATAATCTTTCTTTTGTCAATAAATATTTGTGTCAATAAATTAAGATACAAACTTGTACAAATGTTGTGTTTGACGATTGATGAAAAGGAAAACAGATTTTTTGACGAGTGTTTATAGTTACTGGTCGATTCCGTCAAAAGCTTACGTGAGACGCAAATTTTTCAAGGGTTTGTACCTAACGTTTTGGTGATAGAAAGAGTTATTTGACCGAATTCAGTTCATTTCTATTTAATTAGAACGAAAACGCTGGATACGTAATGACCAGGTAACCATCATCACATTTACCTTTTAAAAGGTTGGTTCTGAAATATCTTTTAATTGGAAAAGTAGTACATGTAAGGTTCGAACTCGAGTGGAAGAAAATGAGTGAAGCAAAGACGATGGCAAAGAATGTAATTCGATGGAACAACTGCATCAGGCCATATGTGGCAATGGCCACCAAAGAGATGAGATGCTTGTTCTCAAAATAGTTTCCCATTTCTATGGTATTTTAGCAAAAAATTGGATCGAATTGCTGGAAATAAAGAACAATCAAGAAAAATTCTTTTTATATAAAAGCAAAATAATCTGAGAATTTTCTATCTTGTTTCTTGATACAGTTCCTTATTTTTTTCACGAATCCACGGGAAAGTATGTAGATTATTTTACATGTCTGACAGATGCTACATTGTAGATTCTTTTTGTCAAGTTTAGTTTCCAATTCTGGCCATTAAATCAATAAAAGACCTCCCATTCTAGCAAGGCTATGGATTTTGTGTCATTTTGGCTCTCGCCTACACGCACGTTAATAGATTCCTTCCACTGTAAGTCATTGTTCCGGGAAGAATTGTAAAGGTTATCTATAATTCAGAGATGGATTGTGATGTAATTGGGCTCATATTACGAATGATCCTTGACGCATATGACCACATACTTGAATTGGGGAAGACTCTCACTGTTGTCTTAAAGCTTGCTTAATTATTTTGCAAAATATTTACTGGAAGAAAAATGTTTAGAATTTTAATTATGGGGTTATACAGTGTCTAGATAAAAAATAAATAAACTGACGAAACCATTCAATGGTTAACCCTCCTTTTTTCAGGTCACAGATGGTCACTTCGAATCATTTATCAAGCAAAGCTAGTCAGGATCTATTGTAAATGACAAAGCAAATTTAAAAGCTATTGTATGTTGGGGGAGCTAATTGTTTTGGTGAGGTTTTTAAAAACGTTTTAACTTCGAGTTTAGCACCTATTTAATATGGAACGCCCGAGATATGGTTCTAAATACTACATATCGATGGCATTTCTTTAGTTTATTTCTTGTAAAGATGGTTTTGTATTATATAATGCTGTACATATTTCTTAGTTACTTCACTATGTGATGGTAGTTTTGTATCATATACCGTGGGTATTTCTGCATTATCATAAAAATTTGGAATTCCTTATGCATTACAATATATTGTTAGATTCTAAACGCTTTAAATGTTTAATTCAAGAATCTTAATTGTTGCAGCAAGTAAATGCTAGAAATTCACGGGGTTCAGTATTTTGACTTTTCTTTGATCAAGGAATGGCAAATATAACTCACCCTGAAATTCTGCTCAGTAGCTTCAGTCGCAGCATTTGCCCTATAACGCTGTCTGTTGCAGACATGTGGTCAATTACTTTGAAAAGTAATTGACTAAATTACAATTAGTTTGAATTCTCATGATTACAATTAAAGTACTTCTTTTTGGATTGTAATTGATCAAATACAGTTTCTTTTTCTTAAGTATAATCATGATTACATTTGATTACGTTTTATTATTGCTATGTACTGTATATAAAATATACTACAGAAGAGACAAGTCTGTTTAGCCAACACTCGGCCGATTGTTTAGCCAACACTCGGCCGATTGTTTATAGCCAATACTTTGATACTGATAGAAATCGACTCCAAAGACCCAAGAAAATCCTCCGTTACATTCACGGAACAAAAAGTACAAATAAAGAACACAAATTGACAAGTGAGAAATTCCTGATACATTTGTTCTTTCCTCAGTCATTATGCTGCAAAACGGAGATTTTCAGCACTGTGACATTATTTTCCATAACTTCAATTTCACACCGCTGAATAATTTAATTTCGAAGGAGGTGTATACTTATACTTCGATTTCAACATGTAGCATTTTAAAACGATCAAATTCTGCTTTCCGGTCGATATAAAACTGGAAATTGTCGTCTTCCTTCCAATGACCAACATCCCAATTTCTCCAGAAAGCAAATATTTTTTGGTCCAAGCCTGATAATTTAAGGACAGAAAGCAACGCCGATTGATTTTGCTGAGTGTATCTTCTTAGGCCCCACTAATTTTCTCCGAAATAGATATTTGTTTACAGTCGACCTTCATCAGGAAAATTTCAGACACTTCACAAAAACTTGTGACTCTCAGAGAAAAGTCATAAAATTAAAACGCCCCTTTTCTCTATACTGTTTCTTTTTTTTCCAAACTCTAAACCTAACTTTTATGATTTAGGATTGGTGTCTGTATGCTGCAAAGGGAAAGCAAAACAAGATGCACAGAAGATGCCGTCATTTTTATTCTATTTTCATTCATAATTTTATTCACAAGTAAATGGGATTGGGTAGCAGGCATAGCCTATTTTAGCCCTCTCCCAACTACAAGGTCAAAATAACTACACACCGCATATTAAGTATGATATTAATTAAACAAACATTGTAGAAAAAGATGCAAGGAAAAAGGAGGGAAAATTACAATGAAGTACAGGTATATGGAAATATTGACAAAAGTTACATACAGAGTGTTTCAGAAAACATGCAACCATATCGATTGATTACATTTTACTGGTGTTTCATCCAATACCACCCACAAACATATCAAACTAGAAGGCACAATTTAAGAAAGAAGAAGGTACGGTTTTGGCTTTATTGTGCGCTAGAAATTAATGTTTTCAAAAAGTGTTGAAATCGGCATAAATATGAGTTGAGTATATGAGTGTGATAATTCATGAAAGAATAGGAGGACCATTCTGGAAATATGACGCCATTAATTTCGTCTTTTTCTAAGTTTTTCAAGTTTTAAGCTTGACGATAAAATGCTATGAATCTACAAATATACTTTAAAATTCCAAGTTGGAAAATATCTTTTGCTTTGAAAATGTTATTTACAATTTATTTTATCAGAGTTTTCAAATGTGAAGCGCATTGAAATGTAAATTATAGGCAATTTTTTACTACAACACCCCTCCTTCTCCCCCTTACTTTTTTGCGACACAGACTATTCGAGCTTGATGAAACATCGGATACATTGCAGATATAATTAGTCCATTGAATTCCTGAAGTACTAATTTGTTAATTCGTGTATACATTTTAAATATTGACTATTAGTATGTTTTGTATTTAAGTAAAACTTACTTAGGATTTTATTCTCCCGTGTCCGGTAAGTAGTCCACACTACAGGCCCTTAGTAGATCGCTTTAAAAAATTAAGGTGTTAAAAAAAAAATACTTTTATCTTTTTATACACCCCAATTTTTTTTAAGTCGGATTTAAGCGATCTAAAGGCCTGTGGTCCATACATATGCATTCATATTTCATATATACCTGGATATGAAATTCATTTGACATTGAAGTTTACTTTTATTTAATGAATTTTTATTTTACTCACAATAGCGTATGTTCAACTCTTCTGTGATATAAATGGAATATTTATAGTTTAAATTTTTTTTTTAAAAAAAAGGAGTGTGTGGGGATACCCCCTTTCACTTTTTCACTTTCGATACTTACTTTGAATATATTATAGTATTCAGTTCATCATCATTTATTTGGTATCATATGTCATCAGTTCTCGAGTTCATAGGCAAGTCTGAGTGTAAATGTATCTGTGTATTCGTGAAAAAAAACATAATTTTTCGGAAAACAGGAGGAATGTCAACTTAAGGGAGGGAAAACAAACATATCCCACATTTTTAGAGTTGTTCCTCTTTGACCAGTGAGCTTCTGAGGACGGTATCGATAATTACATTGTAAAATATGTTTTGTTCTGTTTTTCTTATTTGTTTGTTTGCTTGTTTGTTTTTTTATATATTAAAGAAGAACAAAAAATATTCATTTGGTGAATACATGATTATAAGACAGACCTGTAATCGGAATGTTATGTAGCCAACTGTAACGGAAAAAAAATGTAACAAAAACTTTCAGATGGAAAATGCTGTGCTTTGATCACGGATACGATTTACATAATATGAAATTAAAGAAATTTAAGATAAAACTACAAATAGTAAAATTACTAAATTTCTACATAAAGCTTCTGGTTCATCGATAGGCGTGATTTTAAAAAATCACGTGCGGGACGGGAGACAGAGAGAGAGAGAGAGGAAGACAGGCCCGTAGGAAGCAGTTTTAGTTTGGGGGGGGGGGCACAGCCATACATTTTTCAGTTGACAGTTAAGGGGGCACTACCAAAAATTTCCTGACAAGCAAAAAAGAAAAAGAAAAAAAAAGGTCATCAGACATTTAAATTGAGGGGGCACAGGCATATAGTATCTATGTTTATTATAGTAATCTATATATCGGCAAAATTAAATGGGGGAGGGCACGCCCCCCCCCCCCGGTTCGGACCTACGGCCATGAAAGAAGTAGGCGGGACTTAAAGATAGCACGCGAATTTACGGAATCAAAAGCATGTAAATATAAGGAATAACTGTCTGGGGTTTTTTTTGGGGGGGGGGGTTATGATGATGATCAAGCATGCACTTAATAATTGGCTTGCATGATAATAATATGCATAAACGCCGCCTTAATTATCACCTATAGTCTTTTTTTATAAGCCAATAATAGCTGCTTGATCACATCATAAAAAAACCCCCAAAAATAGTTATTCCTTAATACATTTTTCTTTTAAGAAATGAGTTACCAACGTTGTCATTTTTTGTCAAAAAAAAAGCATTTCATGAAAAAAAAAATTTGCATAAAAAAAATTCTATGATGACTCACTCGTGGTCAAATACTGCAGCAAACATCGGAAATTGAATTCCGAGACCAGCTTGACTTCTAAGTTTTCAAGCAGCCAATCAGATTTGGTTTAACATAGTATCTAAGGCGCGTGTTGCTATTGACAAAACATGGCAGGTGTCTGGACAAGTTATCGTTAAAATTTGTATAAGCTCTTTTTGAAAGATCCCAAGTTAATATTCTAACTGAAGACATATGACGTATTAAAGGTAATGAAGATGCTAATAAGCGGTTTTTAATGAATGACGTACCTTTTTATCCTTAAAAAAATAAGATATGAAGGATGCATGCAACGTTGCATATAGAAAAAAAATAGATGCAGATCACAATCGTGTACTAGAAATTGCATTATTGTTTAGAAAGCGTAAAATATATCTCATTTATAATATTGTGCGGTCAACATGAAGCTTGAGAACATTGCATTAGTTGAGTTTTTATGTGTTATTACATTGATGACCTGCATGTTCTTTGGGTGTGTCATGCAGGTCCAGTACAGACTGTACAATCTCTAGATTTAGCTATATAGCTCTAATTACTTTATTAAGCTATGTAGAATAGCTTGATTTAGCTATTTTATCTCACTTTTTTCTGACATGTGTTATTTTTTTTTTAGCATATACAAAAAGTCACACCTAAGTGCTGTGATATTGTTCAACCTTAAATTGTTCTGAATTTAAAACAATGCATGTTAAAATATTGCTCATCAAATTGTGTTTCCTTGAGAGACTTTTTACTGAAAGTTTTGGGACTATATAAAACAATGAATTTGTGACCACACAGGTACTTCTTGAATGAAATTATAAAGGAGGTCAATTATAGTAAACAAGATTATTGATTGGTAATAATTCAGCACAATGTGAAGCAATATTACTTATCCACGTCTCAACACACACAAGTTGGTGTACAGTTATCCCAACAATGGAAAATCATCTTTTGCTTAAAAGTATTCAAAAGCTGCAATGTTAAAACTACCGGTGTCTTTGATTTGGGTTGCTTTTTTGATAACATATAGTACATGCATACATGAATTGTCAAATACCTGCAATTTTTTTGTCTATTTCTTATTGAAAACTGCATATAAATACCTATATCAAGCTATTTTGAATAGCTTAATAAAGCTATATTGCTATTTCAATCTATAAAGCTAAATCAAGAGATTGTACTGGATTGGTGTATAAAAGAGCATTATAAGAGCATATGGAACAATGACAAGATACCTCTTTGATTGAGTGTGTGATTACTGTTTTATATATGACTATAGTTAAATTTCTATAATTTCAGTGACAGAATGACAGCTGGATCTATCCCAGTACCTGCTATTATTCCTATTAGGACACCTTTACCTGGTCGGTCCAAACTCTCCATTGACTCAAACACCAAAATTGAACTTTCCATTGGTAGGTGTCTAGTCATGTGATAGATTACTGAGTGAACTTCATTCAAATTTCTAGTTACATAAAATTTTACAATTATTTTAATTAAAAGTTATACTCATTCTTGCAGTTTTTTTTATGGTTGATCATAAATTTATTTAAAAGCTGAATTCCCTCTCCTTACCAAATTTAGACTTGTGCTGTTTAAAAAAAAAAAAATCATTTTTAGCTGCTGTTCACGTTTTTCTTTGCAATTTACATTTTATATTGTCATAGATGGTAAGCAAGATGCTACTATATATTACACAATAAATGGAACAAAACCAGACCCATTTCCCAAAGTTGGAGTGGAAAGATGTACAATGCAGTACATGGGTCCATTTACACTGCCGGCTGGGAAACAGACTGTCAAGGCTGTAGCAGTTTCTAAGTAAGCTGATATTTATATGATTTATACATAATAGATGCATGAATCAGCATTTATGAACCTCCTTAAAATTTACTTCCGATTAAAAAAAATATTGACACATAAAAAATCTTGTAATTCTCGCAGCAGATATACTGTATCTCTCTTGATATTAATCAGATGCTATGGGTATATTAAAATCAATTATATTGAACTGTCATTTTTATTGTGTAAAGTTTGTTCATTATTAACTAAGTTGATAATACATTGTTTTTTTATTGATTAGTAAATGTATTAAAATAACCAAGGAAATTTAATTTACTGTCTACAAATTGAATGAGTGTGATATTTTTAAAATTTATAGACATACCTTGTTAATAAAAAAAAAACATTAAAGCTCTTTGGATATCAGTTTAACAAGTAGAATAATCAATATATTGGAATCTCTAAACCAGATAGTGACAAGCCTGAGAGACCAATATGCTATGTGATGTATATCGAGACACTATAATGACATACTTCTGAGTGTTTCTTTGTGACATACTTAAATATTTGCATATTAGTGGCTTTTGAGTCAAATTTGGCATGAGAAATATACTTAAGAAATACATGTAGTTAGAAAGGAACTTACTACTAAGCCTTCGAAAGGGAGTGTGCATTGGGTGCAATCTTATCACATCCTTTTTTATAATAAAAACTTGAAAATATCATTTTCGATAAAAAATAAATTCTTTTTTCAACTGCTTATAAAAATGCTAGTGATGGGAATCGATAAGAATTTCATAATCGATGATCAGGCTACTGTAACTAACTAATTATCAATTATAATCGGACATTTACAAAGTCTGTCAATTTTAGTTTATTAAATGGTAAGAATGGTTGAATAACTACTTTCTGTGGTTGTCCAGCTGTAGTTGGAATAACTGTGTCTCGGAACAACCCCTAGTCCTTAGGACAATATCATTTTAACGACAGAATGTTCTATCTAGTCAAGCTGGTTCTACACTCATTTTGTAGAATCCAAAGTACGTCCATACCCCAGAATGAGCGTTGTTACCCGGGTATGAATACAATGTCTCTTCGTCTGTGCCATTACGATACACAAATAAGTTAATAGAAAAGTTGCGGCTGGAATATTTGGCTTAAAAACTATTACGCTTTTAAAATAAAATAAATAACCTGATTAATCAGAATAAAAAATTGTAATCGAGCACTTGGATTATGCCAGCAATCGACTGATTTTTGATTATAATCGATGATTGGAACACCACTAAAAAATGCAGCTTGATTTTGATTGTTTTATTTGAAAAAAAAATGACATTTTGAATGCATTAGAACCCACCAACATAATACCCATTTATTTAAAAAAAATTCTGGGTTTATAGGGGAGGAGATACCTCTCACAGGTACCCCCCCCCCCCTCATCCAGAAACCAGGTGATGATCCTGAACCGTTTAGGTTTTAAGGGGTTTATTGGGCTATATATATACATTGAAGCATGTGAAATTACCATGTGCTACAATGTATGATAAACTCTGAGGTAAACCTTAAAAATCTAGACTGTGTTATTTCTCAAATAAAAGTGTTATTTCATACAGATATAAAATGTAGTAAGTGCTTCCTGTTCTAGAGATGGAATGAGAGAGAGTAATATGGTTACCAAGGTGTTTGATGTGGAGTTTGCCCCAGCCCCACATTCAGCCCCAGTGGATGATGACCTTGGATTTCAGGAGGAAATCAATCAAGAACAAACCAGGGTAAGTGAAAGTAGTATTTTTTGTTCTGTGCAACACCCCAGCCCTGTCCAAACCTTCTATATATCCTAAAATACATATGTACTGCTAGATTGTAAGACAATTAAAGTTTATTGTAGCACTTTAGAAAATCATTTTTACCTGATAGTGATAATGAAGACAAGTTGTCTTTTTGGGGGGGAGTATGTGAAAAATTATTTCATAATCATCTGTATGATGCAATGATCTAATGTGAAGTTATAATGCAAATGTATTTAAAAAATGCAGTTTTACTATGGATAAAACTTAATACATGTATATGTTTTCTCACAGTTGAATACAAAGAGAGCAGCAAAAAATTTAATGTTGTCAGAAGGCACTGCCTGGACTGATGTCTCAGCAATGAAATCAGCCACTCAGAAATTAGCAGGTTAGTATGGCAGTAAAACTGTTTATTTCAATGTTCACTGTTTCTCAAAGATTTAATGTGACCTTTGATCTCTCTGTTCAGAATAAACATAATGCATCTTCTAAGAACTGGATAGATAAAATAAATAATACAATACATCTGTAAGCATCTCAGAATGGTTAGAATTATTGTAATATTTTTATATTTTAGATATGACTGTGTCTGGGACCTCGCACAGACGACCATATGCTGATGCCAGATTCTCCAGTGCAAGGAGGCACAGAGAGGTATAAAGAATGGCTCACACTTTATGACACTTACTGTCATTGCATGGGATTTTTTGGATAAGGACTATTTATATTAGTGAAATTTGAGACATTTAAGAGAAATACTACTTAAATGTCAGGACTGTTAATAATTTTTTAGGCCACTTATCGTAATGAGTCACCTCAGAGATCACATTCAGCCAAGCGCCTCCCTGAGAGCACGGCAGCCATGAGACTAGAGCAGGAGTTAGATCAGATGAGGTGTGTGTTGAGATTTTAAATGTTAAGGGAGATAACTTTTATTGAAATTTAAACAAACATACAGATTGTACATGACAAGATGTCCTAAGATTTATTATAAACTTAAGATTAATATATTTCTTACTGACTTTTCATATGTTTAGAACCTCTTATTACACTGGAGATTTAGATTTACATGGAAAGTATACAAATGGAGTGGATACCACCTCACCGTCCTCCCCACCTAAGGTGTCAATCCCAACTAGTGATATCAGAAAGGTATTTCTTAAGTTTTGTATTTAAAACACAGTCCTCTTAAACCAAAAACAAAATGGTCACTTTGATATGGTTCATGTAATCCTCTGAGAACGTATTTACTGCCTAAATAAGAGGAATTATCGTAATGTAAATATCAACTTTGATCCTTCTGTATTGTAGATGGGTATGTGTCAGTACTGCAGATCAGTTGTGCCTTTCTCTGTCCCCACCTGTGTGGTGTGTGAGGGACCTATACCAGGACAGCACAAACCACCTCCTCAGGTCAGGACATGTAGCAAAATGTTTTCTACTCAGGGTTTTTTTTTTTTCCTTCCAAAACTCACTTTACATCCTTTCTGCTAAATATTGTATGTATTTAGATGAGAGTATGTGGCACAATGTAACAAATTTGCCATTGCATATGAAATATAGTTACATTTGTATAGTAGATGGTACTGTATATAAGCTTACTTTTTTTAACTTTAGACCCAGTGGTTACCTGTCAGTTACCCGATAATGCCTCCATCCACCACTTCAGCACCCAGACGCCCCACTGCTAATGCCTCCACCCAGACTGTGGGCCTGTTTTACCCCTCAGACAGAGAGCTGTCAAAGAAACAGGAGCAGGAAGAGGAGAAAAAAACATTTGAGAAACAGCTGAGAGACAGACGACCACTGCTAACTGCAGTCAGTCCAGGCAAAGGTACAAACCAATCACCCGACTGAGTGTATTATATTGTAGATTCCTAAATATACGCAAAGAATTAATTATCGCGTAATTACGCGAGAAGCACCACATGCTGATGCCAGATTCTCCAGTGCAAGGAGGCACAGAGAGGTATAAAGAATGGCTCACTTTATGACACTTACTGTCATTGCATGGGATTTTTTGGATAAGGACTATTTATATTTAATAGTGAAATTTGAGACAATTAAGAGAAGAAATAAAATAACTTGCCTTTATTTTTATGGTGCTTTAATGTATGTAAAATCTCTAGGTAAATCACCCATTCGCAAATTATTGTTCTCGCGATGGGCCATTTCGCGATATTAAGTACTCGCGTAAAATAAGGAATATACAGTACTTTATAATATTATTAGTACATTTGTATTATTAGTACATTTGCCTGTCTAAAAACCTCATTCATCGTCTTTATCAGTGAAATAATACTGGATATGTATGTTTTGTTGCCTCATTTTCCCTTCCTGCTATTCAGGACTGAAGCAGCTAAACAGAAAATTTCAAGTCACTTTGAAATATTGAAAGTGGTTCATTTCAAATTGAATTTTTTTTTTACATCATTTTTAACATTTTCAGATTTTACATTTAAATGCTTTATTTGAAGGTTACTGGAGAAAACAAGTTGATCATATCTGTGCACACTTAAAAGCACATGCACAGAATGAGGCAGAGTTCAGAGCTCTCATCGGGGAACCTAAAATGGGGAAGGTAATGTTATGCAGTATAAAAAATGTCTCAAAATATTTTTATGTTGTAATCCTGTTTACATTAAACTTGGTTTTACTCAGGGATATGTGTGATTTTAAAATTTCTTTCCATTTCAGCTGTTGACAAGTACAGTACAAGAAGATGGTTACGAGTTAAGTGTCACACTTACGTTTGCCCTACGCAACAATAAAGATCCCCTGGCGGGTCGTAAGATAGCGATGAGTGGTGATTATCTTAGTCAACACACAGAACAGGATAGCTGGCACAACAGTGACTCAGAAGGTCAGTGTGGAAGCAGGAAGTCCAGGATAATCATTGTCTTTTGAATGCTTTTTCTATCATTTTATCAAAAATTTGAAAGTATTTACTAGTCCTATTAGATAGTTCTAATTTGTTGATTAAGGAACAAGTGTAATCAAGAAACAAAGCCAAGTACATGTCAATGAATATAGTAAATTTTTAAAGTTTTTTTTTATTCATTTAACTATATAACCATATAGAAAGAAGTACAACTCTCCTATCATCACATTCCTTGTAGCGAATAATCATTGGTTGTTCAATTTGTAGAGAGTGTTGAAAATGTATCAAGGAAGAAAACAAAAAAGACAAAACCAAAGAAAAAAGAAGGACCAAAAATTGCAGTAAGTTGAAACATTTTTATGAATATTTTCAATTCAAGCATTGTGTTTTTACATCAAAATCTTCATTGCAATATTCCTGAAACTTGAAAAAGAGCGTTTCAGAAATTTCTGTTTGATAAACTTCAGGCAATTGACCAGAAATTACTGAGAGAACTCGGACCAAACGGCGAGGGGGATCCGTCAGAGGTCCAGCAGCTGATAGACGAGGTCAGGAAATCAAAATTTATTATTCTCTTTGTCACCAATACAATCATTATTCCTATCTGTTCCTAAAGTTTTATTGGTAGAAAAAGGATAAATCTCTAAATTACTAAAGATGTCACTATTTTATCCATTGTTAATTGGCTTGTATGTACATGTATTACATATTCAAGAAAAGTTTTAATCTCATAAAAGCTCCAGTAAATTGTGGTTACATGTATATATAAATATTTATGGAATTCAGGTACATGTAATGGAAAAGATAAAGAAAACCAATACCAATTAACAAAAATTAAAGCATTACAGTTTGTTTGATATTATTTTCAGGGAGCCAATCCAGAGTGTACCAACAAAGACGGACTGTCCTGTCTGTATGTGGCCGTAAAGAGGAAGCGAGCAGCTTGTATCCCCGTCTTAGTGGAGGCAGGAGCTGATATCAACATGAAAGGACCATCCTCTATGTATGTGCTACTTTCCACAGCTAAACTAAGATAATTAGTACAATGTATACATTTTGTGTTACTGAATTCTACTCTCTTCTTAAGGACAGTGCAAGATATAAAATTCATTAGAGGCCACTTCACTTTGTGTGATCAATTAAGAATTACAAATATCTTCTTAATACATGTATTGATAAGGTTATAAAAATAATATCTGTTAATTTACAGCAAAGGCAACACACCATTACATGAGGCTGTTGGGCTTGGACCTTCAGGGTCAGAGGTTATTTCCGTCCTTCTAGAGTAAGTTTACAAATGTAATGTGGACTATTTTCAGACTTAAATTTTTGTAATGCAGTCTATCTGTATGAATTTTTCAGTTTTCTGTAATCTTTTCCGTTATTTTCAAGGAATGGTGCAGACCAAACCAAGAAAAATGATCGTGGAGAAACACCGTATGATTTAGCCGTAAAAGGTGGATATGACAGCATAGTGACCAAGTTTGCATCCGCCATGGGTAACTCACAACTAAAGAAAATGGTCAAACCGAAGACCAGAATACCTGCCTCATAATGACTCCTGTTTATGATAGGAGGATGTCATGTTCAGCATATTTGGTGGAAGTTGTATTGTAGGTGTTATTTAAATGCTGGTTTATAGTTGATTGTTATACTCAGAAAGAAATCATTGTGTCTGTCAGCTTGTGGATGCTACCAATGTAGACCAGTAGAGGAAAAATGTTGCTAAGTCTTTGTCCATTTACTTCTAAGTTGAATTTAATGGACATTTTCAGTATATGAGCCAATTTTTATCATCCTTATTTATCACGTTGAAGGATGTAATGAAGTATTGTGATATTAGTATATCACATATTAATTCCCATTTTTGTCTCAATTTAGATGAAATTAAAATATTGTCAAATTAAAATTAATTTCTACTTGTCCTATATATTGAATATTTGATGAACAAGATATTGTACGTTTTGACTTGTATATTACCTCCCTTTTAATTGCAATGTGATATTTTTTTCTTCTTCTTTTTTTTCATAGTTTACTGACTGTTAATTTATAGTATGTATAATACATCTGTATTGACATGATCATTTCTTACAGACATCATTCTTCTTTAAATGTTAATTTTTTTTTTAAGTTCTTTTGACTGGCATATCAAAGAGGTTAGCATACTGTAGACAGTAGAAGGCTATATATATATAACTTTATAACGGTATTGTGGGAAGAAATAAAGAGGCAAATCGTATCATAATTTACTTTTCATTGTTATGGATTTTATTATGCTTTTTCTTTTTACTATGCATTTTATCACCTAGGTTCTAATTTTAAAATAAAAATTATAAAAATAATTTAGCTATTGATCTACAAAGTCTTTGTATAAAGGATCTGAGCAAGAGCATGATGGGAAATTACAGCATGGTTGAAACCAAGGTCTCCATAATAATTTGAAAAATGTCATTCTACTCTCTGGTGTGCCCACAGATTTTTTATGCTCGGATATTGCATCTGTTATTTTCTCTACAATTTTTTGTAGCGTTGGATTTGATGTATAATTAATTGGATTTCTCTCCCCTGGATCTGACGTCATGTCGTACAATAATGGGGGGTCTTGTTTTATGGTGTTTGAACAGCTACACGCCAGACCGTAACACTTGTCTTCACCTGGTTTGTAATTTGGTAGTTCAGAAACTAGTTTCCAAACGCTCTTCCCTGAAAGAAAAAAATAGACATATTTATCCCGAATAAGTCTCCATACCACATTTAGATAGGGTTAATCCGTCTGACATACCATGGGGTACATTTTTTAATATTTTCCCAGTATGCCAGTTTGATTAATTTAAAAGCGATCAATGAAAGAGTTCTACGAAAGAACAACATAAATTCTCCATTATAGTAAAATAGAATTTAACATAGATGTGTAAAATGTAAGTTTTTCTACAGATCCAATGCTCTTGTTATTTTGCATACGTCAGAAAAATGAAATATCATTTACAGTTAAATTTAATACATGTAGAATAAGATATTTAATAAAAATATGATTAATTAGACATATTTAACTTCAGTAAAAGTGCCCTATGTTGTGACTGGACATGTAAGTGTTATGTTTCAATTTAATAAATGATGTAGATCTTTTTTTCTTTCCCATTGTTAATACAATATTTGTCATATTCTGGGGGTTTGAAATGTACATTGCAAGTCATCAGTGTAATATGATTGACATTTCGGACCACGTAACCAATTGCAATAGACTCCATTTTAACCAGTACAGTCGTACCTTTATCGGGTCTGTATCTTACTGCCTGTAGATGTGGACCACAATAATGGAACATAAAAGGGTTGGGTGTTTTGCTTTCTTTGAATTGTAACAACGGTAGAATGTCTTTCCCGTCGAGGATTCTATCCTTTGGAATTTTGCCACCGATTAGACCGACAATGGTGTTGAACATATCCATCTGCTGTGTTGGTTCTTCTATAACTTTACCCCGAGGTAACACCCCAGGAAACCGGATAACAGTTGGCACACGTATGCCCCCATCAACAGCAGGATGGGCTTTTCCACCTATAAAAATAACAACTCATTAAATTAATATATAAGTATATTTTTTCGTGAGCAATGGAATATGAGATTGAAGAAAAATTTGAAATACCGCACCCCGGAAAGGCGAATTGGAGCCCCCATCGCTTTGGCCATTCATCCCCGTTTCCTCTAAATGGGCCCCGTTGTCAGAAGTGAAGTATATCATCGTGTTTCTGCCAAAACCAAACTTGTCAAGAGCATTCATAATGTCACCTATTCCAGAGTCTATTTCTTCGATGGCGTCGCCATATCGACCGTGCTGCGATTTCCCACGAAATTTTTTTAATGTCTTTAAAGCAGTATGCACATGATCCCAAGAAACAACCAACAAAAATGGGTTGTTGTCGCGTTCTCTCTCCTTCAGGAACTTAATTGATTCCTGGGTGTACCGGTAGGAGAGGGTTTCTAAGTGAATTGGTTGTTCAACAAGCTCAAAATCTCGATACAGAAGTCCATTTAACCTTGTCATATTGTTGAAAACAAACACTATATAAATCATTGGTGAAATCATCAAGAATAATAGAAAGACACATAACCCTCGTCCAATTAGACCAACCTTCACCAAGAATATCAACGATAACAATCCGACAAAAAGCACAGCGGCCATTTCTTTGTATATATTTGGCCTCTGAGAAAGCAGCACTCGGTCTCCTTCGTTGCTCCAGTCTTTCATGTTTGTAAGAATGTGGCCATAATAGAAATCAAAACCTCGATTTCGAGGATGAAATGCCATATCTCCTCTGTAGTCTTTGTTCAATCCTAAATGCCATTTGCCTGAAAAGTAAAATAAATGCATATAATAAGAAAATCCATCATCAAAGTACGTTTGCTCCGAGAAGTAAATAAAATGTAATTTATGTCTCTGGTTTGCACCCTAAATGATGAAGACATTCTAGAGAACAACATGCCTACGAGGGCTGTTTTGTAGTCCACCGTCTTGGCAACTTCTGCCAACGTGACCTCGGACGTAGGAAGGCCAACACCGTTGGCGGCAAACACGTTTACCACTATTCGACCATCCGGAAACATTCCTGTCAATCAAAAATTGAAGAACATTTGAACACATGGATTATTAACTAAAAAGTTATGTGCATACTGTACATGTACATCTGAATTGCCAATTAAAAATACCTAAATTAAGATATTTTCTGCACAAAGGTGACTCCTGAATGAAAAAAAAAAAGGTAAAATTTTAATTCGATGTAAACATTGCTTTCAAATACATATAGGGCAGACATACCTGTTCTGATTGGGAGACGCCCTGTTAGTAGAGCGGACCTGCTGGGAGTACATACACTAGCCGCTGCCAGGTGATGTGTCAGTTTGATCCCATCGTGAGCGAGTGCGTCTATGTTGGGCGTCCGCACTGTGCTGTTCCCAAACACGCCGACATCTCCATAACCCAGATCATCCGCCAGGAAAATTACTATGTTTGGCTTGAAGTGAAGCGATTTGGACGGAATCAAAAGTTTGAGAATCGTAATCAAAAATATCACATAAAATTTCATCTTTTCACGTACGACAATCAGGATGAGTGTTAATTAATTAGATGAGTCTGTTCGTTGACATTGAAAATCCGTGATAAATTATTACACACAGCAAAGTCCTTGGTACAAAAGTCCGTGACTGGATATGTACATCCACTGTACGTTGTTTGTAAACATAAGTAGTTTATGGGACTTTGACCCTTATACTATTATCTCCATTAAAAGCCCTGCAAAAACAGTGAAAAACATAAATAGCATTAAGAATGATTTAACCAGAACGGAACTAAACAAAATACATGTACAATGTACAAACAGTTCTCATTTGTCAAGCAGTGTTTTCCACATAGCTTCAAAATTAAAGAGATTGGTATCTTTTATAAAGGGAAGGGGGTGTAAATATAGATGAACACATGTATATCAAAATTACTTGCTCTTGAAAGGCCTAAGAGTGCAGGCGCGGATCCAGGAATTTTTTCCATGGGGGTCCACCCAAGTCAAAAAAATTCACCCCCCAAAACATAAAAAAACAAAAAAAAAGAAACAAAAGCAGAAACAAACAATTCCATTTCCCAAACGTGAAAAAAAAAACTATTTCGCACAAGTGATGACGCCATCACGGTGGGGTCCACGTATTCGGGAGGAGGGTCCAAAGTCATTTTTATTTGCTTCATTATATACTTTTAGTAAATTAATAACTCTGCAAATTCCAGGGCGTCCGGACCCCCCCCCCCCCTTCTAGATCCGCGCATGTAGTGCATTAAGCATGAAAATGAATAGTTCTGCTACAAATATTCTAATTATAGGTACAGTTATAATTACTTATATCTCCATATACAGTTGCTGCATTCTACTCTCCAAGTGCTAATCAAATTTATTTTATCAATGGACCGATAAATCGTGGTCCAAACGGGTCAAATACTATTACCGAACGCATGGTGCGATTACATTTAGATTTTCTGAATAACATGCGAACTTGTTTTGCATTGTGAAGGATTAAATTACACTTTCAAACTGTAATAATGATTACTGTAGATGACCTTATATTACTTTACAAAATAATGTTATAGTATAACAAACGTCATTATTGTTTTTTAAAATAATAATAATGCTTTGTTTTGACTTCACAAATAATAGAACAGAACAGAACATTTACTTTCTAATTTAGAGCCCATAACAGACAAGTATGAAATTATTACAATAATAAAGAAAAGATATGCCAATGGATAGTATAACAATTTGTAAATGACATTGCTCATTTCAACAATAATATTGTACTATTTCAGTTAAAGGGAATACTATATATAAAACTGTATGGCTACTACATGTTATCATTTATGAATTTGCCCACAGAATTAAGAGTTTCTTTGTCTTCAGTATTGAGTAACCAAAAAAGTTTTTGTTCATCATCTAATGCCGAGAAATTTGGAGATTTACTTTTAATTGATTGAAAAATTTCTTTTCTTTGATGATCATATTTTTTACATGTTATTCGGAAATGAGTTTCATCATCTACACTGTTAGAGTTACATCTATTGCATAATCGATCTATGTGACTACTGATACAACTTGAAGCTGTTATCAAATACAAAATGCAAGGGGGGGGGGGGGGGGGAGATGTTCTAAACCCAAGAGTGAAATCTAGTCTAATGGATAACACTGCATCTTGTTTTTGAAAATGGAAAAGCTTGAATAATACATCGATATTTTTTTAATCATTAATTAATAATAAAAAAAAAAAGGTGTACACTTTCTTTTGATATTTAACACTGACATTAAAAGCAATATCAGATAATGGTATACGTACTTACCTGGAAAGTGCCTATACTGTCATTAAAGCATATATACCGTGAATTAAATATAAAACTCGTAGCGACCCAGTTTCCGACCTCGCCGCCGTTATACTTACCGACCTTTACATGCTTTAAGGACGACAAATTATGAATGACTAGTGTTCTTCAGTGATTATGGTGACCTCCGATAACCCGCTGGTCAAACCTGTTAGTGATGCCCAGAAAATATGCCGACAACTTTCACTAAGGATATGTTTGTTCGTTTATTACCCTAAGACCATGCATGTTCAATGGTAAATGAGATATATAACACCTATTCTCACATAATCCGTCCACATGCAGCCTAACTTTCATTAAAAAAATAAAGTCATTATTTGGGTGAGAAGTCGATGTTTTTTAGCAAACAAAACATGGGAGAATTATTTTTCAAAATATCAGAACTCAACCATGCATGATGACAAAAATATTCAATATGCAATATAGGTAGTGTATATACCTTCGTAATTTACGTTATTATCTTACGTCGAAATGAACCCGTCAAAAATCGTTTAAAATATTGTCAAAATGAATATTCAGTTTCACTTGGATTTTTTTAGCACTATGTCTGTACTAATAAAAACACTTCGAATATTTTGTTTTTTGCCAGTGTTTTTCTCTTAATTTGTAATTAACAAATTTTATTTGCTTTAATCTTATTTTTCAACTGAAATAATTCTGTTCCTTCTTACTAGAAATGTTTGAGCTGAATTCCTGTGCGACTTAATTTTATGTTTATGAATCATAAGAGAAGAGGATTTTAAAATTTAATTTGGGAAGAGACAGTGAAAATTCTAAATTGGTTTTTCTTTAAGAAATATATTGATAACGTAAATTACAATTTTACTGGTATTCAAACCAAAAATTAATATTTTCTTGAACTTATTTTCATCCATCTAATGACATGCAGTATTTTCAATTGCCCACAAAATGCCACAAACACTGATTATTTTTCATCCTTTTGAGAGATTCACAGTTAAATATAATGACAATGTAAGATCTGCTGTTGGTATGTTTTTTTTCCTTTCTTTCTCTAGTTATGCCTCTCCCTATTTTTTCTTCTTTTATTCCCCATATGCTTTTTTAATTTCTGCTTTTGACTTTACAATCTCTGTTAAATGAAATCTATGAAATATAATTACGGAGAAAGGCAATTAAATTATATTTAATTTATGTTATTTTTACTGTAATTTACGTTATGAATGTTTTGCTTCATCAAGTAATCAATGAAGAGAGATTTATGCGTAAAATATTGCTACAAATATATAGAAGTACACCTTGTTTGTAAAATCAACTGAAATTCACGCCAAAAATACATCTTTGAGGAATTATTTGAAAGTTTTTAAAGGTAACACGTAATTTACGTTATCTGATGGCGCTTCCTGCATCAGATCTACATCGGAAGTTCGGTGATGTTAAGATGCTTTCGAGAAGAAACCAATAACGTTTCCTGCATGGTTCCGTATTGTCCCGACGTCTTATTTGCAAGATAGGTACCATATATGTATTATACTGATAACGTAAATTACATAACGTAAATTACTTTCTATCAGATTAATTGGTGTAAAATGTGTAGTCGCACAGATCAATGTTCGTTTTAATATTTTACGTGTTTGGTAGGTCAGGAAGAAGAAATAAATTAATATGCAAAGACAATTTTACTTGTGTTCTTTAAGTATCGTTGATAACGTAAAATACATCCTTAAAACGAACCACTCACCTCTGGTTAAAAGACCAATGTGTTTCTGTAGGTATTCTGTCATATAACTTTTCTTTGTTTCTGATTGCATTTTATGGACTTTGTTGGATATTCTAGTAGATATTTTATGTTTTTAGATACCCTTTTATGCTGTTTACACAAATACTAAGATTTTGATAACGTAAATTACAGAAATTTAGCGACAACGTTATTATATATTTTTTAAAAATTTCACTGTAGACAAATATCTAAAAGTGTTAAAAATCAATATATTCATGCATTGTTATAGGTAAAAGTCGTGCTTTTTAGCATAAAATGTAATTGTTTTGTTTTATTCATTGGTCCAAACTTTGCCTTTTGCCTAAGCGACAGATCGAGAAGCCATTTATTAGACTATATACTTGGATCCCAGGGAAGTTTTAACCTGTGTATTAACACTTAACGATGTTGGTTTGGTAACTAGACGTATCACAAACGAAAACACTACAAAATTTACCAATTATTTTAATAATAATGTAATTTAAATTGCTTGCGACATCCAAATAGCGCATATGGACGGATTATGTGAGAATAGGTGATAAACATATATACAAAAATATAAAGTATAAGACAGGGTAACATGAAGAATATTACTTTTGCCAACATTTGGGGGGGGGGGGGATAAGCAAATATATATTGGTTTCTGTAATAATAAATCGACATCGCTGGTAGACCAGAAAGTATATAGGTCCCTGGACATTGAAGTCTTAGATTTATGAATGTTTACATGAGTACATATAATTTTCTTATCAATAAATTTTCCTAATGAGAAAAAAGGACACTCCATAACATAGTTGAATTCATCCAAGTTTTTATCACACAAAGGACATCCATACTTATAAATGATTACATTTTGCAAATAAATTCTGAAAATTCAAATACCTGCACCAAAGTTTATGCTGATGAAGCTATCCTAGGACTAAAACATCTCTTAAGACGAACTTGCGACATATCTTAGTCTGATTGGAGGCCAACGAAGCTATCCTATCTTAGGATACCTCTTAATCTTAGTCCTAACTTCAAAACACGGCGAGCTTAATAACCTAATACATATCTCAATAATTATTAAATCAATTTAGTAAACATTGTGCCGTATCACTATATATGTACGCATGTTCATGTACCTGAACAAATGCAATACTTTATACTTTTATTAACTCTAAAAATCTACATCCGCAGATGTGTATGATGTCATAAGGACAAAGTAAACAGATATATTTGTTTTACAAGAGAGAGAGAGAGAGAGAGACAGACAGACAGACAGAAACAGAGGAGAGAGAGAGAAATGCAGGCATGTTTACGAAGCTATCTTGTCGCCCGCCTGGCGCAGTGGTTAGAGCATCTGCTCTACAGTTGCACAGTAAGGAGTTGATCCTTTACGTCGCAGGTTCGAATCCACTGCGGGATGCGGATGACACCGCATAAACCGAAGTCCCGTGTCGCAGGTGTTGGCATGACAAAGATCCCTCACTGCTCAATGACCCTAAGTGTCGAGTATAGGTATAAATTTGCAGTCCTCCACCGGCAAGTGTTGGCGTCTCCATATCAGTGAAATATTCTTGAGAGGTACGTTAAACAACCAACCAACAAACAAACAAACAATCGAGGATATCTTATTCCTAGGAAACGTCGTAAAATAAAGTTACGACGTATTTTACTTCTCAGCGCGGTTTTCGAAAGCGTCTTAAAAATCTCCAAACTCTACGTGAAGACAAACGACCCTGTAGAGTAATGACCATTTGTAGATTTTATATGGGATATATTTTTTTCTTTTAATTATAAAAATTATAAATCAAGAGGCCCGTGGATCAAAATGCTCACCTGAGGCAAATTGAGGATAAAGCGTTGATCTATTGTTCTAGTTAAATCTTTCAAATGTCTTTTATGATAAAAGGACAACATTATCCGACTTCAATCTACACTGTGTGGAAATGCTGCCATATTGATTTGACTAATGTATCATTGTTTTGAAGTTTTTCGCTTATATTGTCCAGAGAGAGAGAGAGAGAGAGAATTGCTTATGCTGTCTGTCTACAATTAATCATAGGTTGCGCCCGAGTGCCTGTTTTCTAAGTCAACGATTTAAACAGTGTACATACATGTAATTTTCTGACATATAGCAAAAGTGTCTTACAATTTGAATAAGAAGATTTAAGTGATGTTTCAGACACTTTCGTACATTTTCGTGAAAACCACAAGAATAACACTTGATCCTTGTGCTTTCTACGTGTACCATCTTTGAGTTTCTGGATGCTCTCCTTTATCAAAGAAAAGTCTTTTCCAAAGAAGAAACATCAAATCTGTTCGAACAAATACGTAATTTGCTAAATTGTAAAGTAAATATCCAGTTAGTAAGAACTATTCCGCCCCCCCCCCCAAAAAAAATGATTTAGCGTACGAATATACCAACTTAATTCGTCTGAAAAAGGAACTTATTTATCCACACAAATATTTTGTTCGTCCGAAAGAACTAACTTGTGAGAACTATTATCTTTAATGTCAGAACAATTATCTAATTTGTCCGAACAATTATAACTCTTTTCTGGGCTTCAACAACATACTATTGCATTATATTCCGTATTTAGAAAAGTTATTGCCTTCATGGATTTTTTTTTTTCATAAATTTGCTAAAGTTATCAAGATTCTAAATTTCTGACAAGGTCATTATAATTCGAATTTTGATTGAGGCTGTTGTAAGCCCTGTAACATCAACTTATTTGTCAGTATCCTGCTCCTGTTTAAAGTTGATAGTACTCAGACTATGCTCTTGCGTACCGAATAAGTTGGAGACAAATAACATCATATGCAGGCGATATGGTGAAATTTTACTACATAAATACACGTAAGAAGTTGGCGATGGAAAAGCCGATTCTGAAGTCATATCGTTTGTTACTTGGACATAATCATCTATAATAAGTAATACTAGTATATGGAAATATGAAATAGATGATAAAACCGATGAAGACTAAAATGTTTGCTACAAAACAACCCATAAATAAATCACATGACAGCAGGTTTTCTTCCTCCAGAAAGAAGAAAAAAATCAAACTGTACATGTTAGTTAACTTGTTTGTTGTGTGAAAAAATTGTCTAACCGTTTCCTCGGCTTCACCTCATTCAATAATGGTTTCTTGGCTTCACCTAATGATTTACAAGGTGAAAATTTTAGTTACCCTCAAAACCATGTAGGCCTAATATTTTTATATTGTCGACACAAAAATAAATCCTGTTATGACTTTCTTATCAATGATTTACATACTAAAATATAGCAGCATTATGGGACACATTTTTTTTATTGCTAAATTAAGCAAAAATTGTGCTGAAATGTCACAGTTCCCAGTCTATCTATCTATTAAATTCCTTTTAAACTAATTTTTACAATAAATGACATTCTTTGGTAGTAATTCTGTCTTTAATGTGTTATTTCACAAAAAAAGCTCAGCATAATGAAGAGCATATTGAATCTCTTAAAATGTTTTGCTGACACTTGTCCGATTTTTCAGTACAGTATAACAGTAACGATCAGGATTGAAGTAAGGGGGGCGATACTGTGCTGCACCAAACCTATATAAAAAGGAGAAAAAGACAATGTGTTATAGGGGTTGATTGAAAATTTAAAATTTCAACAAAACTCTGGCAAGAATTTTCATGTCCTACCATGAATATGGCCAGGGCATATAGTGTTTGTATTGTCCGTCCTCTGTTTCTCTGTCCTTCCATCTTTCCGTCACATTTTGCATTTAACTCAGTTTCAAAGAAACTATTCAAGATATTTTTTTTTATAAAATTTCATATGCTGATACATATTGATGACAGCTATTCAAGTGCATCAACATTTTTGACTTTGGTCTTTCCTTTGAACCTTGACCTCACTAATCTTAAATTAGTGTTTAGCTCAATTTCAAGATATTTTTTATCAATCTCTATACGCTGATATATACTGATGAGAATTATTCAACTTCATCATCATTTTTTACCTTGACCTTTCCTTTGACCTTGACTTCACTTTTCTTAAGATTGTGTATAGATAAGATTCAAAGTCACTATTCAAGATATTTTTATAAAACTTTCTATGTACACACATACTGATGAGAGCTATTCAACTGCATTTTCTGACCTTGACCCTTTCTTTGACCTTGACCTCACTTTTTTAAATTAGTGATTATTTCAAAGAAACGTAAGATATTTTTATCAAACCTTGCTGCTTATAAATATTGATCAGAACTCTTCAACAGCATCAGCATTTTTGACCTTGACCTTTCCTTTGACATTGCCCTCATTTTTCTCAAATTTGTGTTTAGCTCAGTTTAAAAGAAAATTTTCAGGTATTTTTATGCACTGATACATTATTTGGTGAAAATTTATCAACAGTGTCCAATTTCTTTTTTTACCTTGACTTTCCCAATGACCTTTCACTTTACTATTTATTTGAATATTAAACTCAGTTTTAAAAAAAATTTTCAAGGTACATGTATTTTCATCAAACTTCGTACACTAATACAATTTTTTATGTTGCATTACTAATGAAACCTGGGCAGGGCATTCATGTCCTATGGACATATTTCTAGTTTAATTTTTCATTCACCTAAAGATCAGGCCTGGAGGTTATAAAACTTTGAGTACATACTCTGTGCTCAAACTCATACTCCGTTCTCTAAAACCTTACTCATACTCAAATTTTATATACAAATTAGAGAGGAATTTTTAGCATGAGTATGGTTTTGGAGTATGGAGTTTGAGTTTGAGCACTGAGTACATACTTAGAAAGTTTTATAACCTCCAGGCCAGGTCTTACTCATTGCTAAGGATTTGAGTAAGAATATTTTTAATTAAATACATGTACATCCTGCAGTTATACTATGATTTTTTTTTAATGTACACTGGAAATTTGACAGATTTACCCACTTAGACCCTGCAGTATGCTCATTTGAATATTCTTTGTTTTTGACATTGACCTTCCTTTTACTGATATAAACTCTCCACCAGTATAGTAGAGAGAAATTACCTATGTAATCTATATTAAGAGTACTCATATATTTTTATCATTTACAATTAAAAACACATTTGAGATTAATGAAATCAGTTTGATTAAAAGTAAAAATGATAAATAAATGTAACACTTACACATGCTGTGTGAACCTATTGAGGGGATAAAGAAAAGAGACCATTGACAAATCTTTACTTAATAGTAAAATGTTTTGACTAATGCATATCCAATTTGTATAAAATGAGTATTCCTCAAACATTTCCCCTTTTTGTCTTGAAATATCAATTTAGTTTATCAAATCAAGTTTGAAATGTGTAGCATATTGCAGCTAAATATGGAACTTGTAGCAAAGCTGTATATCAATCAATTTGTTAATTTGAATATTTTGCATAGTTAATTTCTGGAGTGAAGGACAACTTAATCGAAAAAATTTATTTTCACAAAGAAAGTTACAAAATGTAAAAAAGAAAAAAAAAACATTTTCTATAGAGGAAAGGAGAATTTTACTTTGTTTAACACAGGAACTGGTGTCTAGAGTTTTGCCTGCCACCTGCTCCAGAATGGTCCATTTCTCCTGACCTAAACCACATAGCTGCTCAACAGTGACAGCCTGGGCCTGCTCCAGACTGAAGTATCTCAGCTGATCACTGCTCAGTGCCTAGAAGTCATTTAAAATACATCTTGCTGAGTCACATGCACATTAATGAAAGTATAAATAGGTATCAATGGAAGGTATATTGTTTCTTGTTCTTCTGTAATTCTAAATAATTTGTTTCGAGTATATATATGATTAAAAAATAAAGTACATAGGGAATTATTATGCCAGGTTTGGTCAAGTTTGTCCAAATATTTGATTGACTTTTACAATTGTAGTCCTTTGGCTATATTTGTGCTTTGATATTACATTGGAAACACTTGCCAAATTCATAAAAGGTTTAGCAAACAGACTTTGGGGATAAAATTGAGTTTGTTGAACAGAAGTTATATGTCGAATCAGAAATATCACTCAAAACTATCAGTAGATTATCTATAATTAGGTTTAGGTAGTTAATTGCTATACAGCTGCTCTTGAAAAAAGCATAATTTTAAAATGTGAGGTTTTTTTTATAAGATTTAAATTGTAAGGTCAAGGTTAAACTTTAATGTCATTATGTTTGCATTATTTCACAGGCAAATAAATCCTAAGGTACACTTCACAGTCATGTACCATTACCTGTAGCTTGAATTATTATGTAAAAAGTCAAAATAAATTACCATTTGTCTTACCGATATAAATGTCTTTGGTAAATACTGAATGTATTTTGCTTCAATGGCATTCAACTGTGTTTCTCCAAAGGATGAAATGTCTTCAGTTAGCAGTCCCCCTAAAATTACAGTTATTGGTATTGCAATAAATAAAACTTATTGATTAAGGAATGAATTTAAAATTTATCCAAGTTATATGAGTTTACCCTGTGTTTGTGCAGTTTGGGCTTTATATCCTATGAGGCACTTTATAAATATGCATTATCTGTTCTATTAAAATTTGCAAAATAAAAATATAATGTCGAGTAGATTGATACTTTTTTGACATTCAATGTACACAGAATTTACAATATAAACTTATTTTTCATCCAACGAAATACCATATTGAAAACAGATTTATCTGCAGTGAAACAGACATTTGAACAACAATACAAAAAAACTTTACAAACTATTTAAGCGAGTACAAATATATATGCAAGGTAATCCCCCTCACCCGAAAAAAGCACCTGAATGAATATTTTTTACCAAAGTGAGCAGATGTAAATGTACTCATTGTTAAAGAAAAGGGTTTGAAACTCTGAACTGTTCAAACCTTAACATATACTCACCAATAGTTAGATTACTGAACCTTCATTAACATGTACATAACAATACCTACACAGCTAAAGGTGTGATTACTGAACCTTTATTAACATGTACTTACCAATAACTACACCTAAAGGTGTAATAACTGAACCTTTATTAACATGTACTTACCAATAACTACACCTAAAGGTGTGATTACTGAACCTTTATTAACATGTACTTACCAATAACTACACACCTAAAGATGTATTACTAAACCTTTATTAACATGTACTTACCAATAACTACACCTACAGATGTATTACTGAACCTTTATTAACATGTACTTACCAATAACTACACCTACAGATGTGATAACTGAACCTTTATTAACATGTACTTACCAATAACTACACCTACAGATGTGATAACTGAACCTTTATTAACATGTACTTACCAATAACTACACCTAAAGGTGTGATTACTGAACCTTTATTAACATGTACTTACCAATAACTACACACCTAAAGATGTATTACTAAACCTTTATTAACATGTACTTACCAATAACTACACCTACAGATGTATTACTGAACCTTTATTAACATGTACTTACCAATAACTACACCTACAGATGTGATAACTGAACCTTTATTAACATGTACTTACCAATAACTACACCTACAGATGTGATAACTGAACCTTTATTAACATGTACTTACCAATAACTACACCTAAAGGTGTGATTACTGAATCTTTATTAACATGTACTTACCAATAACTACACCAACAGATGTGATAACTGCACCTTTATTAACATGTACTTACCAATAACTACTGCTAAAGATGTGATTACTGAACCTTTATTAACATGTACTTACCAATAACTACACCTACAGATGTGATAACTGAACCTTTATTAACATGTACTTACCAATAACTACACCTAAAGGTGTGATTACTGAACCTTTATTAACATGTACTTACCAATAACTACACCTAAAGGTGTGATTACTGAACCTTTTTTAACAAGTACTTACCAATAACTACACCTACAGATGTGATTACTAAACCTTTTTTAACATGTACTTACCAATAACTACACCTACAGATGTGATAACTGAACCTTTATTAGCATGTACTTACCAATAACTATACCTAAAGGTATGATTACTGAACCATTATTAACAAGTACTTACCAATAACTACACCTAAAGGTGTAATTACTGAACCTTTATTAACATGTACTTACCAATAACTACACCTACAGATGTGATAACTGAACCTTTATTAGCATGTACTTACCAATAACTACACCTAAAGGTGTGATTACTGAACCTTTTTTAACAAGTACTTACCAATAACTACACCTACAGATGTAGTTACTAAACCTTTATTAACATGTACTTACCAATAACTACACCTACAGATGTGATAACTTAACCTTTATTAACAAGTACTTACCAAAAACTTCACCTAAAGGTGTAATTACTGAACCTTTATTAACAAGTACTTACTAATAACTACACCTAAAGGTGTGATTACTGAACCTTTATTAACAAGTACTTACCAATAACTACACCTACAGATGTAGTTACTAAACCTTTATTAACATGTACTTACCAATAACTACACCTACAGATGTGATAACTGAACCTTTATTAGCATGTACTTACCAATAACTACACCTAAAGGTACGATTACTGAAACATTATTAACATGTACTTACCAATAACTACACCTAAAGGTGTAATTACTGAACCTTTATTAACATGTACTTACCAATAACTACACCTAAAGGTGTGATAACTGAACCTTTATTAACATGTACTTACCAATAACTACACCTACAGGTGTGATTACTGAACCTTTATTAACAAGTACTTACCAATAACTACACCTAAAGGTGTGATAACTAAACCTTTATTAACATGTACTTACCAATAACTACACCTAAAGGTGTGATAACTAAACCTTTATTAACATGTACTTACCAATAACTACACCTAAAGGTGTGATCACTGAACCTTTATTAACATGTACTTGCCAATAACTACACCTAAAGGTGTGATTACTGAACCTTTATTAACATGTACTTACCAATAACTACACCTACAGATGTCATATCTGAACCTTTATTAACATGAACGTACCAATAACTACACCTAAAGGTGTGATTACTGAACCTTTATTAACATGTACTTACCAATAACTACACACCTAAAGATGTATTACTAAACCTTTATTAACATGTACTTACCAATAACTACACCTACAGATGTGATAACTGAACCTTTATTAACATGTACTTACCAATAACTACACCTAAAGATGTGATAACTGAACCTTTATTAACATGTACTTACCAATAACTACTGCTGAAGATGTGATAACTGAACCTTTATTAACATGTACTTACCAATAACTACACCTACAGATGTGATAACTGAACCTTTATTAACATGTACTTACCAATAACTACACCTAAAGGTGTGATTACTGAACCTTTATTAACATGTACTTACCAATAACTACACCTACAGATGTGATAACTGAACCTTTATTAGCATGTACTTACCAATAACTACACCTAAAGGTATGATTACTGAACCATTATTAACAAGTACTTACCAATAACTACACCTAAAGGTGTAATTACTGAACCTTTATTAACATGTACTTACCAATAACTACACCTAAAGGTGTGATAACTGAACCTTTATTAACATGTATCTATCAATAACTACACCTACAGGTGTGATTACTGAACCTTTATTAACAAGTACTTACCAATAACTACACCTAAAGATGTGATTACTGAACCTTTATTAACAAGTACTTACCAATAACTTCACCTACAGATTGATAACTGAACCTTTATTAACATGTACTTACCAATAACTACACCTACAGATGTGATTACTGAAGCATTCCATTGGCTGACATCAGATCCAAAGTAAGACTTGGCCATTTTTGTCAGTTCAGAGATTTTGTCACTGCTACAAGTAGTTACCTTTCCAACATCATCAGCAGCTAAACTGTCAAAATATAATTGAAATCTGATGTAATGTCTTTCATTGTTGTTATTTCCAATTCCAATGACTGTAAAGCTTTTTACATTCTGTGCACTATTGCAGATTACATGTACAAACCCATAAGCACTAGCAGTGAGAGTGGATAACTGGTCCACTGTGGCTCCACATAGAATGTGTCCCAGTGATCTGATATCAGAGGCTGTCAACTGACTAGCTGCCTGGTATTGAAGCTGAGAGATGATATTGTTAAAAATGGCACTTTTCTATTAAAAAAAAGAAAGTTTGGATATGTATAGCTCTTATAACAACATTTCTAAATTATACTTGTTTTGAAGCACACTTAAGGAATGAATTTAATAGCTTTCTAAAGTATATTGTATAACCTTGGTTGGGACAGTTTAATTAATATGCTTTATAAAGTGCAAACTGGTTTATAAACAAACATAAACTGTTCCAACCCAGGTTATACAAGTTTAACTTTGATAGCTATTAAATTCATTCCTCCTATAATTGATTTTCTAACATTAAGACTAGTGCAAAAATATGTCAATTTTCCTTTCAAAAATGCCTTCAAATTGTTCAAATTCTACATGTAATGTCAAACAGATTGATACTTTTTTGACATAAGTCATTGTCACATTGACAAAACAGGTTGCAAGATTTTAACCAATTTTTCTATACAATCAAATGGTGCATTACAACCAGAATTAAATCATTATCTGGTAATCTTGCTCTCTCTCTCTCTCTCAAAGTGCATAGTTATGATGAACAAGGGTGCATCTCCCAAAATTGTGAATTTTCATGGACCTCTGGTCAGGGGTTCTGGTGTGAGGACAGGGCTCTTTTGCTTATTTAGTCAAAATACATTATTTCTTTGAAAATGTTCTTCTCTGCTCCAGGGTATTTAGCAGATAAACTAAGTGCATGGTTATGGTTATGATGAGCAAGGATGCTTCTTCAAAAATTGTGAAATTTGTGGCCTCAGGGCCAGGGGTTTGGGAGGAAGGGTCTTTTGAAACTATAGTTAAAATGCATTATATCTTTGAAAACCTTCCTCTCTGCCCCTGGGTATTTAGCAGACAAACTAACTACATGATGATTAGCAAGGATGCCTTTTCAAAAAGTATATTGTCAACTTCCCTTACTTATGTAGCAATATACGCTTATCACCTGCATATGGGGTTACTATCTCCCATTTGATTTGATACACAGCATGCTTCATGTATGAACAATGTTTAAAATAAGGCAAGCTATTGACAAACAAGTTGATGAAGAGTCTCATTTTAAGTAATCATTGTGCAAGTCAATGACCTTGTCACCCAATGCAATCTATCACCAAGTTGATTGCTAATTGACATTTCTCATACTAATAGTTTTGCCACTATTTAGACACCGAATTGTCTACTGATTTTTCCGTTTGCCCGATCATGACAATAAGCACATAGCAGGAGTGACCAGTCAGCAGGGGATGCTTACTCCTCCGTGGCACCTGATCCCACCTCTAATGATTTTAGAGTTCCATGTTGCTCTGCTCCCAATTTGTATTGTTTCAATGGACTTTTGAGCTTGATTACTGTTTGTTATCTCTATATTTTATTCACAACCCATGGATCAGGGAATTTGGTGTTTGAATATATAGTAACAATGCATTATTTCTTTAAAAATCTTCTTCTCTGAATAGAAAACTATATAATTAATATCAAAATATATCACCTTGTCTTCACTCCAGACACTGAACTCTCCTAATTTGCTGGCTGCATTAAGATCTATGGACATCTGACTGATTTCTGCAATAGTCAGCCCCTGCACAATGACTGCTGCATCCTGAATGTTCGTAGACGTCCAATTGGTCGGGGAACCCCATACACCTGGCTGTACATTATATTGTTACATTAAGTACTAGGTAATAACAGAACTGATGTTCATTCCAGTGGTTTAATAATGTATCTGCTATATTGATTTTGAAGGTCATTTTAAATATACCCCAAAAAATAAACTTTTTTGGGGCACTCTGCAATTAGAAGAAATCAGCATTTTGTTCATCCAATCTAGTAGCTAGTTATAAATGTTTTCTAAGAGCAAAATTTTGAATTGTACCCTCTTAGCAACTGCTGCTAGAGCCTCTAGTTGTGCTGTGCTGTAGCCTGGCACTGAGCCAAGTACTGAAGCACAAGCCTCAAACTCGACATCGGAGAGTCCAGCTATCACCTCTACAGACAGGGTGGACAGGGTCTCAGCATCCATATCCTGCAAGTCTGAACACTCCATGCTACCTGTAAAAGGGAAAAAAGGAAGTGATTCAACACTTTCTATTCAGAACATTCAATAAATTTCTATTTGATACAACCATAACATACATTAATATTAGAAAGTTTTTACTATTGACATTTTGTTCAAGTTAAAAATATTTATTCTGCTCAATAAAGGCGAATGTTTTGCAGTATTTGGTTCATTTGACCAAATGTTTTGTACATGCAGTCATGTATACACATATGTGGTAACAGGACACTTTTAAGTTGGCAGTACTTAGAAATATTCCCTGAATGTGAGTGTTTTTTAAATTTAAATGCTAACTGATTTGTGTTAATTATATATCATTTCCCCATTTTTATAAACTCTTGAAGGTTCTGTTGATAAAATTCCATCAATTCTTTCATTTCTGACAGCATGCAAACTTTCAAGAGCAGAAGTAGAACAAGAGGTCCATGGACCACAAAGTTCACGTGAATCACTCTTCCTGACATACAAGTTTGTGCATTTCAATGAAACTTCTTACTGATGTCTCCAAATTAAGGATAAATAACATAAACAATTTTTTTTCTCCCCAAAGTCAAATATCCTTAATAAAATATGTGCCTCTCTCACTTTAGAAGTGATATTTGTTTAGTTAAACAGCTTATAATGTTTGGCCAAGCCACAAAATTTGGTGAAAAGTGCAAAAATGCAACTTTAAAGCTCAATATATTTTTTGAAAAGTTTTGGAAGTGTATGAAGTTTTATTTCTGCAAAGTTTCTGGGGACATTTTTAAGAGTGTATGTTAACATTTTACACAAATAAAACTTCTTAATTACATTTCCATTGAAAGAAATATTGAAAAAATGCCAGTGTAACTCTTCTGTGAGGGAGATAAGAAAATTTGTTTGTGGTATGTATCTTTAAGTGTCCATGACTTCAAAATTTTCAATTTACATTAAATTTATTCTTGATGTCAACTTTACAAATGCTTCGATCCAGATGCTAATCATTTTCTGTTTAAACCTTTGTTCCCCAATTGATGATCAATTAATCAAGTCCCTTATGCCATGCTTGAAACAAACCTGAATGTACAGTACATAGGGATACAAGCATATAAATGACTAATTATGGCCTTGCTCACTTGTGATGATGGTTTATCATGTTTTTTTTCCTATATATTACTAAGTAAAACTATGACCCCCAATTGTGCCCTTATCATTGCCCAATGGGTCATAGTTTGAACAAATTTGTGCCTAGACTACATGAAGATGCTTTGCTTATAATTTGACTATTCATAGCCTTAACTTGCTTATATTTAGAAACTTTTTTAATTTCTTCCCCAAAATGTTCCAATATAAATCTTTGACCCCCTATTAGAATTATCATTTGAAAAACCTGATTCTACTCTACATGAAGACAAAAGTTTAATTATCTGACTAATTTAGCCCTACTTTGACCATCTATAAGGCCCCACCCTAGCCCCAGAAGTCAAGGATTAAAAAAAAATTGTTTATACTCATCAAAGTTGCTTAATTTTGGCTTTTCTGGTCGAATGGTCACGAAGGAGGAAATTTTTTAAATGACCCAACCTATTATCCAAGTTTTCTAATGAGAGTGTCTTTAGCTAAGAGACCTTCCAGTAGTTTATTTAGCAACATTCACTTTGACTTAACTATAGCCCTGATTCAAGGCAAATCTGTTGTCTGATTCACAAGTCTCTGTGACTATCAGTGCACCTCTACACAAAAACCAGTGACCTTGAGAAGCACTTACTAGCTGTCTGTCTCTTTTTCCTGGCAGAAGACAGAGATTTGGAGACTATAATGGTTTGGATAATGAGTTTTCCCAGAGCTCTGTTTCCCTTTAATTCCTCTAGTTGCTCTGTCTCAGTGAGATCATTAGTAAACCCCCGCTCTGTTCTCTGCCTCCTCATCTCCTTCAGAGCTTTCTTTTCCCTTAACAACTCACTGTAACCTGCTAACATGGCTGACTAAAAGTAAAACAACATATGGAAACTATTTCAGAAAATACTGTAAAGCAACTATTAAAAGTGTAATTTTTTGCAAAATCGCCAATAGGAAAGCACTTTGCATCAATTAATATACACAATCCAGTTTACGGTTTCCAACAGTGACTAACTGGTTCCCAATAATAAATATCTGCGAGCTTAAGTATCTTCAGAATTTCATGGATACTAGGTATTTTTCATACCAGTCATTTGCATATACTGTAGATTCCTTATTTTCACGAGTACTTATTATGCCAAAATGGCTCTTTGAGTCAAATCCAGAGAAGAATAATTGCGATTGGTCACTTTGCTCAGGAGATCTTACATGGATTTTAGCATCACAAAAATAAAAGCGAGTAATTTTATTTTGCGAGTTGTGTTTCTCATGAAATTATGCGATAATTAATTCCACGCGTATATTTAGGAAAAGTAAAAGTTTGTTAACAGTTTGTCATATATTAAACATTTAACTTAACGTAGGTCGCGGGTTTGCTGACGTCGTTAAAACTGTGTACACAATTTATATGATTTGGGCGACTTTCTTGTGCACATTTGATTATGACGTCACAATGAAAAAGAAATCTGTGATGATTTTTATATTATTAAATTCTTCAGTATATCATTATTTAGCTATAACTTTTCTTGGAATTGGTAGTTTAGTGTTTTATTATTTAATCAACAACTTATCACAAATAATGAAGGCTTTTTACGATTTGTATAGTCGATACAATACTTGGATATAACTTTTGTTGGAATTGGTAATTTAGTGAAGAGGGCTTATTACGATTCAAATGATCGACACTGGAAGTATTAAAAAACGTTTAATTATATTTGTTATCAATCAAATCTTCTCGGGCCTTTCCTGCGAGCTTGTAAAAACAAGTGGTTGTTTTTCGGCTTGTCGGAAAGGACCGAGAAATTGCGATTGATTTGTTTTCACTTGGTATCGCGAAACGATATGAACACAAGGTTCAACTGACTTTTTTTCCTTTGATCGTATATGAATTAACAGTTTGATTTATTAATAAAGAAGCCATTATTTAAAAAAAAAATCGAAAATACACCTGTTACATCAAAAGATTAACTTTATTTTTAAAAAGGATATTTTTAAAATATATAGATCTACAAGTTTATCATGAATTAAATACTGCTAAGGTACGATGAAACACAAGACAATTTGTTAGCGACACTGACCTCCTGTTAGGATTTGATTCTGAAGGAGAGGGGGTGGCAAATTTTACCGAGACAGATTGTTTATTTTCATATCCGTGAAGGACAGAATATTTATTTTAAAAAAAACAAGGACAGATTATCTATTTCTTCTTCAGTGAAAAAAGTCTGACAAGCAACAAAAAAAAAAGGAAAACATCAAAGTTGAAAACTCCCATGGAGGAGAGGGGGGAGGGTGCTAGAACTAGCCATGGACAGTTTATTCATATTCTTGCCCGGTTGCTGACAGATTATTATTTCCAAAATCTGTAAGCCCCCCCCCCCCCCCCCCCCCCCCGAGTGTAATGATCGTCCCCTAAGCAATGCTGTTTAATATATACCTACAGATTTTATTTGCTACTTTGCTTTCCATGTCCAACAAGTAGAATTAATGTTCTAACAAAAAACTGGCTGTTGATTACGTCAGATAAAATTAATTTTCGTCCCATTTACCCCATTTACCCCTCTGAAAATGTGGTATGTAAAAATAGATATTTTGTTTAAGTATATAATACTGAAACTATATTGTATTTAGCCGGGGCGATATTTGGTAGAAATTCGTTGATTTGAGCGCCTCGCTGAATGGTCTAAATAAAAACATTTTATATACTTGAATTACTTGAAAAAGAGGATATCGTTTTCCGCCAGCACGCTGGAAAAGAAAAATATGTAGCCAAATGTAAGGATACGTATGGCACGCCAAATTCACAAAAATGAGATAATCATAGTTTCACAATCGATAAACTAGGTTTATCAGTTGTAAACTATAGTTTACGAATTGTAAACTATAATTAACAACGTTAATCTATATTTCACATCTGTAAACCATAGTTAACGCGATAATCTATGTTTCACAACCGTAAACTATACTTAACACCGAAAACAATCATTTGCGATTGCAAAACATAGATTTTCTGATAAATACAGTTTCACGATTTGTAAACTATAGTTTACAAACCGTTAACTATACTTAACGATCTGATAAATATAGTTTCACGATTTGTGAAACTATGATTAACAACCGTTAACTATAGTTTACGATTGTAAACTATAGTTTACAAACGTGAATCTATGTTTATCAACAAAATCTATTGTTAACGCTTATTACAGACAGATAAACTTAGATTAGCATTCGTAAACTATAGTTAACAACCGTTAAATATAGTTTTACAGATGAAAACTATACTTAACGAATCGTTAACTATAGTTTACGATTTGTAAACTATAGTTTACAGTCGATAAACCTAGTTTATCAATTGTGAAACTAGGTTTTACTCATTTTTGTAAATTTGGCGTGCCATAGATACGTCTAATCTACGAAAAAAAAGCAAAACAAAACAAACAGAAAAGAAATGGTAAGAAAACAACACATAAAGAAAGTAAATTGGAAGAAACTAAAGGATTGATTCATTTGATTGTTGTTTTACGTCCCTTGCGAGAACTTTCACCAATATAAGACGTACAAAAACCCTAATCTGAAGAGAAACATGTCTAGTAATCATTTCATTGATATTGAATTATTATGATATGATTCACGGGTCACTTGAAAGCAGATAGAAGTGAATTTCTTTTTTATAAAAATTATTTAATCTTATTTTTCTGCACTGAAAACCGGATAGATATTCACGACGTCAAGCATGACGTCGCGATATTTTATGACGTCGTTCTTAAAAATGTTACATTTTGCGATATAAAAGCAATTATCCACATTTAAATTACGCGAAAACTAACTCGAAGACATATTAATTTTTTCACATTGATTTATTTCAAATCAATTCTTTGTTAAAATACCAAAGGGGAAAAAATTTCGTCTGCACCGTTTAAAAGTTATTGATATTTTTTTAAAGAAAATCTTGCCTCAAAACGAGCCGAAAACGTTTTTCTTATATAATTCAATAGAATAACGCCGAAAATGTCACAACAACAATGGCGTGTTTGGGATTAAATTACTCAAAAATGATGCAGACGAATTTTATAAAATTTTCAGAGAATATAAAACGAAGGTAGAGGACACATATAACTAATTTTCATGGTATGTTTTCGGACACTTTTAAATGGCCTGCAAACCCGCGACCTACGTTAAGATCACCTTATAGAGGTTTAACTTCATCAAGATTGAAAGGTAACTGCTTCAATTTTTGTATGTAAAATGGCAAGACAAAACCATACTTATCTATATAGTTATTGAAGTATGCTTATGGGAAACAATGAAACCAGTAGGAAGAAAATGCAACAGCTAGACCCATTCAGGACTCAAACATTGTGTCCCCTGAATTCTAGACATGCAGGGACTCTATAAACTGAGCTGCCTGGTCACCAATGAACACCTGTCTGCAGACTGCCAATTATTCCTTTCTCTTAATTTGTCTTTGCCTCCAAAGATACTGACCTGGGAGTTCTTTCACCTGTCACTTCTATTGCATGGCAAGGCATTAAACTCAGTAATACCACAGAAATACATACTATAGTCCAGACCAAGATTGAAGCCAGAACCCTTGAACTCTTTTGACAAGTGTTCTACCAACTGAACTATCTAACCACCTACAAATGAATCTGGCAGACATCACAGATGAATGAAGATTGTACATGTATTCAAAGACTACATTCACACAAACACTTGTGTTTACAGTTAAGTAATTTACATACTACTAAAAACATTTCTAATATTTAAACACACAAGTACTTGCACGTATATTTATGTAACAGGAGAGGAAAAATTGTGACAGAGCGGGATTCGAACCCTGGCCCCCTGAATCTCCAATCAGGTGCTCTACCAACTGAGCTATCTGGACACCAGCGATCAAACCCATCTGACCACCACATTCCCTCCTTAAAGGTCTTCCTCACCCCCAAGACACCAACCCAGGCTCTTCCCTGGAAGGTCTTTCACCTGTCACTTCCAGGCCATGGCATTGCACCATATGTAACAGGAGAGGAGAAAAATGCAATGAACCAGAGCAGGATTCAAACCCAGACCCCCTGTATCTCCAGTCAGGTGCTCTACCAACTACCTGGCCATCAGCAATTGAACCTGTCTGACCACCACATTGATAAATGTTGGATGTTTTACATAGATGGCATTGTTAAGGAATGGGACTTTTACATAAGGAAATATATTGGTAGAGAGTCTTACTGTATTTATGGTAGCAATAGCACTTGGATCTTCTACTGTAATCAGAAGTCCAAGGGTGGCAATATCCTCCTCTGTGTAGATGGAGGGAGATGACCCACTACAAAATATTTATCCAGGTAGTTTACTCAAAGATTTATCACTTTTTTTTACTATTAATTAAAGGTTACAATAAATACTTATCAATAATCAAGCTTGGATTGGTGAAAAGTAAACCATTATCAGAGGAATCAGATCACTGTTAGCAAGTTGAATGTTTGTCAAATTAATAACTCTATACAGTAAAACTTGCTTATGTTGGCTATATTAAGGAAGTTAAACTCACTCATACCAGTTTCTGTATGCATTCGAAAGATGTATATTAAAGGAAGTTAAATTTGGATATAACTCTGGACATAAAGTCTTCAGAAACTTCTTTATTAAGGCAAGTTTTACTGAATGTGCGACATTATGCTTCATAAAATTTTAAAAACTTTACAAGTGAAAATTTTACATTTTAGAAATGCCCATGCACATCTTTTAAAGTGAAAGTAGAGAACACATAAAGTGCATGGTTATATATTCCCTTTGTACATCTGTCACTTAGTGCATTTGGGAGATTTTCCAGCTTGCAATTTACCATAAGCCTTTCATTAATAGCAGCAAGCATTTTTTTTTTTTTACTTAAATACATGGTGACTGTGTTGATCTTGTTTAATTTCATATTATGAACCTCAAACTTTACCATCTGATTGACCAAATAAACTTTTTAGTAGTTTTGTCATAAAATGACTAGATACTTTAGAAATCAATTGTTTCTTCTGCAATTATTATGGTTTAATTAATAGATGTTCCATATTTTTTCTATATTCCAATAATTAAGACCTATTAACTTTGAAATAACTATATCAGTCTACCTTGAATCCAGAAGTGAACTCATAAACAAGTCTTTCTAGTCTTATAGGAGCTAAATTCTTTGCATGTGCTAAATTGTAAACTTTCTTCTATAATTAGCAAAAAATTAATCTGTAAAAACAAAACAGGTTTGCCATAATGATTCAAGAATAACGATCTAAATTAAGTTCTAAATAGAAATTAAATTTGAACAAGAAATAGATCCGTTTTACAAACATGACTTGATTTTGCTTCATTTGGTTGACAATCTCTTTCTTTACAGCCAGGGAGACACATGGACACTTGGCAAATTCTGCCCCGGTCCCTGCCAGTGCCTCTTTTGTCATCAGTTGTACATGAGATTTAATAAAGCCACACTTCAGATTTCCCAAAGACTCCACAACCTCCAGACTCAGACTTGTCAAACCCTGAAAAGTAACCAGTCTTACATTCAGTCAAACCTCGTTATCTCAAACTTCACAAGACCAAGAAAATACTTAGAGATATCTGAGGATTCCAGATATTCAGGGTAAAATACTTAAGAAATAAGCATTTGGGACTTCAAGATCACTTAGACATATCCATAGTATTCGAGATATCCATGTTTGAGATACCAAAGTTCAACTGTATATAATCCTCGGATATTTCGAAGTATTTTTTACGGTCCCATTGTGTTCCAGATAATGAGGTTTGACACTGTCTATATATATATGTATATATATATATTCATGAGTAATGCGAATTTGAACGTTTATAAGATTCAGTACACATGGATATGAATTATCCAACAAAAATGAATTAAAAAGACATTAAACAGGACTAAATTTCCTCCTTTCTATTTCTATTGCCTTTCTACTACATAACTTTTAGATATTAACATTTCACAATTTTCAACACTTATGCAATGATTTCACTTGTAACCATTCTTTTAGGTAAAGATTTCAGTACCTTTTCCTCAATAACGAATGCTGTCCTGTTTTGGAGTACACTACAGGGTACAGTGTTCAGGTTGATACTGGACAGAACCTCTGTGATGGTATCCGTCATGTTCAACCTCCTCAACTGATCATTGCTTTAAAATGAATCCAATCACAAATAAATGCAGTGTTAAAGTTCTCATTAACAAGAAGTCTGTGCATGAGCCAATGCTCTCTAGTAATACCACCGCTCTGATGTGAATGTATCATCACCTAACATAGATCCAGGGTAGTATGATGATCACACGTTGAAAGATTGTACTTACTATGATTTTTTTTTAATTTAAGGTTATCATCTTTTTTTTATCATCATTAAAGTTTATCCAAAAAGTCAATGTCCACAGAAATAAAACATAAGAACCAAAGCAATGCAATGATAAACAGGATTAGTTTACATCAAATTGGTACAAAAATGATCCCACCATATGGCATGTCTAAACAAAGAAGGTGCTAAAATTTTGAGCATCTGCCTTGAGTATGTTTGCTGAGAAAACTGCAACAGAAATTTAGTATGGACAGGCGTATGAATAAACAGGAAGTTGACATTGGATTTGTACAAAAATGAATCCCACCATATGGCATGCTTAGACAGAAGAGTGTGCTAAAATTTCAAGCATCTGCCAAGAGTACACTGTAAAAAATGTGTTTAGATGATAGACACTTTTCTAAGCACAATCTTGTCACACTTTTTTTAATGCATTTAAATTCTAAACATGTTTAATTTCAATACACGTAATGGAAAGTGTTTTGAACCTAAATGCTTACATGTTTAGATTTTAAACACATTTCTAATCAGTTTTAGATTTGCATTTAGAACCTGAACACTTCAATGTTTTAAACAAGAATCTGCAAGAAAACTGAAAATATGACAGGACATTATACGTTTTATTTAAACATCATATCAAAGTGCTAAAAAAGACATAACACACAGTAAAATGTTCTCACGGATTCATCGTTCGGCGAAACTCCTTTCTCTTGAGAATGGTTTTCAATTTTTTGTACAGTCTTTTAGAAGTTATGACATATCATACTTTTTGGCATCTAAACAGTTAGTAACACCCAGTTGTTGAATTGTCTGCAGTAGCAAAATACAAAGTTAATAAATGTAAAGACTCCAGGTACACATGTATGGCGTGCTTCTTGCAGTGTGATGCAATACGGTTCACTATTTCAAATCCCCCGTGATGTAAACAAAACAGCAGAGTATATGGATAATCTTGAAAGTATTTTCTATGGTAGTATATATGTATAATTCATCTTTCACATCCATAAACAGAAATGAAGTTTGAAATTCTTTCTCTCGGCTATCCAATAAATTTAACCTGTAAGAAAGAATGTACGTTGCATTTAAGTTTAATCAATATTTATGCATTTTTAGAATCAATATTTACACTCATTAATGAATACATGATATGGCACCCAAAGACATCCTAGATATAAAGCGCAATGTTATTTACCTTTATTAATCTTCATGTAAATTTTATTTAATCCAAAGCATACATACCCTCTATAGAAGTAAACAAGAAGCCTTTCATATGTATTTCACTATTTCTGCGTTGACTGTCACTCAAGTCCTCATCAGTTTCCTTGATAACTTCGTTTACTGTTTTGTTGTGACTTTCTTTGTTTCGACAACCGCGCTTATTAACGTTCAAATATGTATCATTTCTGGGAAGATAACTCTGCACTTGACCGAATTTAAAACCAAAAACATGTTCAATATCTAAACGCGTATAGATTTTAAATACATCTAGACGTAAGTATTTAGTTGTTAAACACAAAATCAAACACGTTTAGATCTAAACACGTAATGGAAGTGTTTATTTCCTAAGCGCAATTTTTACAGTGTAGTTGTTTAGAAAACTGTGACCAAAATTTGGTACGAACAGACAGACAGCTACAAACACAAACAGACAGACAAACACACAAGGGTAAAACAATATACCCCCTCTCCTTCGGAGCAGCCAGGGGTATAAAAATAATATGTACATTTTCTGTGTTATTTTATTAACATCAAAACGTTTCATTTATTATGGCATTAATATCATAGTTTGTGATTTAATGTTTCATATAGTAAATATTCATTGAAATTCTATCATCAAATGAAAAAACAAATTATCAACATTACATGCTGCTTTATTTCTTTAAAATATTTTATTTTGAAATCTTACGAAAGTCTTGCTATGACTTCAGTTCCCACTTGTCTCACAACATCTTCTGTCAGACCACTGGTGGAAACATCAGCAGAAGAGTTGTCAAGGTTAAATTTCTCAATCAATACTTTCCCCAGCATTGTATTCTAAAAGATAATGGCCATCAGCATGATCAGTCTAAAATACGTTGTATGCTTAACTTGGAAAGACTTCAGAATACGTACAATTGTAACAGGAAAGGAGAAAATGTATGGCTGGACCAGGAATCAAACCCGGGACCCCTGCATCACTAGTCAGGTGCTCTACTGACTGAGCTACCCTGGCCAATATCCAAGGCCCAAACAATTACATTCCTCCCTCCTTAAATTGTCCTCACCCTCAAAGACACAACCCAAGTTCTTATTAGCCCCTGGCAGGACTTTCACCTGCAAGTCCAGGGGTGGTTAATGACACCAAATCCATAACAGGAAAGGAGAAAATGTATAGCTGGACCAGGAATCGAACCTGGGACCCCTGCATCACTAGTCAGGTGCTCTACCAACTGAGCTACCCAGGCCAATATCCAAGGCCCAAACCATTACACATCAAATGAAAACCTTAACTTATGTATTGAGGTGAATCTCAAATCTGGGTTGTATAAATGAGGAGACATCATACTGAGTAACACTTCAAGTAATTCTAATTCTTACTGATTTTTCAGAAACAACACCATCTTGGTTGAAAAGGTGGATGAACTGAAGACTGTTTGGATTGTTCCTGAGATCAATCATGTCTGCTGCCCTCACAAAGGTCAACAGGTTTGTCACAGCTATGTTGTTGACTACATCAACTGTCCAGGTACTAAGGTTTCCCAATTCCATCTTTAGACTTTTTAAAACTCTGTATGCCTACAATAAGATTATTCAGATTCTTAACTATATCTAGAACATTTTTGTTTTAATTTAACTAATGTATGTCAAGAAAACAAAACATTTACCTACTATTTGTCAAACTTCTATCTTTTTGGTTGGAGGGGAGCAGAAGGATTTCATAACCATGAATTAAAATAAAATACCTTTGAATTCAAAAGCATAGTGCAAATGTTAATTAAAACAAATTATAAGCATGAAACCTGTTTCCTTGTGAATTGGAAGTCCTGGATAGTCTCTCCATTCATAAGTTTATTAATCATATCCTCTAACATTGTGTCCCCAATATCCCTTACCTCTCCCCGGAACAAGGGGGAGGTCATCAAAAGCTCAGTCCCTCCTTCCTCTTTCTTCACCTACAATTAAATGTTCATCAAAATTAAAAATATAAATAATAAAATTAATAATAATAAAAATAAAATTAATAACAATAAAAATAAAATTATTTCTGTGATGCGTATAAACATAAGCTAACATTAATAAAGTAACAGACAAAATTTGCTGAGCTTCACCGAGAAAAAAATTTCCTTATTCCTTTTATATTGCTTTCCAGGCAAGAATCTGACTTTGAAGCATGCTTTGCATAAATTAACCAAACATTCATTTTTAATTTGTTTCTATATATATATAACATTCTTTCTTGTATTCTCATTCAATTAAATAACCTGTTAATTAAATCATATAAAAGAATTTCTTGATTAACACAATCTAGAAAAGGGGAGTAACTCTCATTTGCTTCACGTATTACAAGTGTGTACTCTGTTTGCCTCCTACATACCCAGGAGCAAAGAAAAGGCACATTTACAGTTTACTTATAAATATATTTAATACATTTACATTGCATTATTGCATTTAGTTTGTTTGCTTAGTACTCAGGGGCAGAGGAGAAGATTTTCAGAGCATTAATGCATTTCAGCTAATTAATCAATAGAGCCCCACTCAAGCACCAGAACCCCTGACCCAGGGGCCATGAAATTCACAATTTTAAGAGGCACCCTTTCTCATCATAACTATGTATTTAGTTTGTTTGCTTAATACCAAGGGGAAGAGGAGAAGATTTTCAAATCATTAATTCATTTTCAGTATATAATGAATAAGCCCCCACCCATCCAAAGAACCCCTGACCCAGGGGCCATGAAATTCAAAATTTTGAAAGAGGCACTCTTGCTCATTATAACTAAGTACTTTGTTCATCAGCTTAATACCCAGGGGAAGAGAAGATTTTTAAAGAATTAATGCATTTTCACTATATAATCATTAGTGCCCTGCCTTAACACCAGAACACCTGACCCTAGGGCCATAAAATTCACAATTTTGTAAGAAGCACCCTTCCTCATCATAACTATGCATTTAGTTTGTTTGCTTAATACCCAGGAGCAGAGGAGAAGATTTTTCAAGAAATGCATTTTCACTATATATTCACTGAGCCCAACCCTAGGGCCAGAACCCCTGCTGTGGGGCCATGAATTTCAGAATTTTAGTAGAGAGCTCAATGCTTTTTACGATCATGCCAGCAGTTTGACTGCTTGATGTCCAGGAGTAAAGAAGAAGATATTTAAAGTTTGCATTAATTTTGATGGTTTTTGACCCACCCCTGAGGCCCCAGGGGGCAGGGGCCATGACTTTCATAATTTTTACTCCCCTTCAACCATAGATGCTATATTGCAAAATTGGTTGAAATTGGTTCACTGGTTCCAGAGAAGATGCTAAAAATGTTCAAAAGTTTACGACTGATTGATGATGAACGACAAGTGACTCAGGTCACCTAAAAAGATGCCACCACATTTTCACAATTTTTAATTATCTCCCCTTGAAAGAGGGCATGGCACTTCCTGTGAACAAATTTAAATCCCCCTCACCCAAGGATGTTTTGTGACAAGTTTGGTTGAAATGGCCCAGTGGTTCTTGAGAAGAAGTTGAAAATGTGAAGACGACACATGGACACAGGACACTCTTCAATCAGAAAAGCTCATCTAAGCCCTAGGCTCAGGTGAGCTAAACACTGATACTATATACAGTTGAACTCTGGTATCTGGAATACCATGGATATCTCCAAGTGATTGGGAAGTCCTTACCAAGTATTTCTTAAGTATTTTACCCTCAATATCTCGAACCCTCGGATATCTCAAAGTTTTTTCTTGGTCCCATCGAGTTCGAGATAACGAGGTTTGACTGTATATATCAACAAAAAAGAAAAATGTTTCAATTAAGTCTTGAAATTCAGATCCATTACAACTCTTACTTTAGCAGCAATTATTCTAATGGCCTGCTTGTCCAGATGACAGTGGACTGACTGTGAATTTTCCAGAGTTTTGTTCTGCAAGAGTTGCATCAGCTCAGCGCCATTGATTTCCTCAAACTGTGTAGCCCGGAGACAGTGCACATTAGAACCAAATTTCTCCAGTTCATCTGCAGTCAAGTTACCCTAGCAATAAAATCTCTCTTTAATAAATCTAGGCTCTGTGATATTTCATATAGTAAAGAATCCTGCTAGTACTCGTATTCAGAAAAGGTAACATTAATGGGACTGTACATACACTCAACAGAAACTTACTGCAGCTTTTCCAAGGTGTTGTTTAAACTTTCTAAAAACATCACCTGCCTAAAAAATTACAGATCAGCATTATTTTTCTTTGTGAATTTATTTAAAATTTCTCAATTATCATCTGTAAATCTGTACAACGAATTTTCTTCTCATGTGACTAAACTATGCCAGTTCCACTAAGATGGAATGATTACAAAGCCTGGTGGTTGTCAACATAAAAATCATGTGTGTATTTTAAAAGCACAAAAAATAACCTTTCAAAATATGTAAATGATACTCGTTTCAGTGGTAATGTCACAAAAAGTGCTCATAAAGGAAAGTTGACTATATAGTAATTAAAAATACATCCATTTAATTGAAATCCAAACTAAATAACTTGATATCCCTAAAAACTTACAGCCTTTTTTGAAAACTGTGCACCAGTCAAATTCCCTGTACTGATGGCAGCTCCTATTGCAGCGGCTGGAATGTTTTTGATTTCCTTTGGTTGAAAAGCTCCAATTGTTGCTCCAAGATTTACCAGAGTGCCGGTGCTGATATTGGTAAGGTCTTGAAATTCTGAATCCTGCTTCAATTTTCTCCAAGTTTGCATCCTCTGACAAGGAATGTGAACATTTTCAGGTAAAATAGAAGAATGCACTACCACAATAGTTCTTATCCTCTCAGATTTCACCGTATGCTGATATCTAATTAAAAATATCTTGCTTACAATTGTATACAATGATAACTTTGAATTGCATATTTGTAGCTAATATGTAATATGTCCAAAAATTCCCTATTTGAGATATTTATGAATTAAAATACATAGCACTAGCTTGTATAAAATACCTCTGAAGGAGTCAGCTCCATTTTGTTGATCTCTGGTAATGCACTCTTCAACGTGGATGCATTCAGTTTGTTCATTTTTCTTTTATCATTAACAATCAGGGGCAGAAATCTGATGGAAACACAATTAACATAAGACATGCTATTAACAACAAGAAGTCTGTAAGCCAATGCTCACTAGTGATACCCCCACTCTGATGTGAATGAATCCCACCATATGGCATGCCTAAACAAAGAGTGTTCTAAAATTTCAAGCATCTGCAATGAGTATAGTTCCTGAGAAAACTGCGACGAAAATTTGGTACGGACAGACTCATGGATAAACAGGAAGCTGACATCAGATTTGTTCAAAAATGAATCCCACCATATGGCATGCCTAGACAAAGAGTGCGCTAAAATTTCAAGCATCTGCAATGAGTAGTTGCTGAGAAAATTGCAACAAAAATTTGTTACGGACAGACACACAGACAGACACACCAGGGTAAAACAGTATACCCCCCTCTCCTTCGGAGAGGAGGTTGAATAAATCTCAATTCAGGTAAATTTTTGCTTTTTTAAACTTTTTTTTTTTTTAATTTTTGAACAAATTATTATAACTTATATCAGAGAGTCTGAGATTTAGTTTTGTTGCATATTTGTTGGTTCCACAGATTTTTTTTTTAAAGAAGACCATAAAAGTAAAAGAAATGAGTCTATTAATTGATAATTAATGGTTCCTTACTGTTTGACTTCCTCCTTATTTAGACTTGTTAGGTTCCGTATTTCTGTGAGAAGTGCTTTTTTCATTTCTGCAACTTCCCGCAAGCTCAGTTTAACACTTGGATCATAGGTTGTCACCATCTGCAACAAAGGCAATAACATTTTTATCTAAAATTTGTAAGTACAACATTAAAGTATTAATTCCTATCAGATGAACAATAAAACCAAGACCTCAGAATTTAACTTCCCTAATAATAACTTATGTAACTTAGATACTATGTTGTGAATGACTTCTTTCTTAGAATTTTCGGACAAATGCAATGTATAATCTTTAGAATGTTTATTATACAATAGAGAACAGCTGTGACAAGTACTTACATGTACATGTACCAGACCTGACTTAAACCAAACTATACGACAACCATTTGTTCTCTTACTTCACTGTCTGACACAAACTGCTTCATCTCCGACATCCTAGCCCCACAGCTTGACAGGATCTTAACCAACACTGGTTTTATGATGGAGTTGTCCTTGTTTTTCTCCAACAAAGCCAATGCCTGCTTTCTTAAGTCTGTTGTTTTCACTACCCCTAGCTTCCTACAGCTTGCTATAATTTCTTCCTGCCTGAAACAATACTGAAACTGTGCACCAACATGTTCACCCGCAATCAAAATAAAAAGATTACCATTACTGTTACGTATTCAACTTAATTAACTGGTTTTAATTTAATTGAAATCAAATTTTACCGCTGACATGCTGCTCATAAAGATTATGAATAGTATTCGCATGCATTTTATATTTTTGTTCATGCAAATGCTGCTGAATCAAAGATACCGAAAAAAAATTATTTTTTTTTTCAGAAAAATTTTGCTGATAACTGAAAAAAACTGGTAATATAAATGCACTTAATCCTATCATAAATATGACAGAGATCTGTATTCATAAATTTTTGTCTTTGAAAATATCAAATTTTATAACATCAGAGAGATTGAAAGAAAGAGAGAGTATAATCAACACAAAATGAACTGTTACAATGTAATTACAGAATACTTATGCTGTTTTCAAATTCATTCAAACAGTATTATACATATTAGTACATAAAATCTGTTCTATTATGAAATTTTCTAACACTTTCAATTGTGAATATAGTATTTATTATAAAACTTTACACAGTTACTCTAAAAAAAAAAGTCAACTGGTTGTCACAACAGTTGCAGATTTCCTATTTTATTTTATTTTATTTTTTTTTTTGGGGGGGGGGGGGGAAGGAGAGGGTGTACAGCAATAAACTCTTATATAGAAAAGAAATAAAAAAGAGAAATGTCAATAATATTTTAAAAGTTTTCATCAGGTGTTGTTGCTATTAATGAGTTCACAAATCCCCTACCATTATATTATTGAAGTCTACATACTCTGACTAAAATTATAGTTTTGCAATATCAAAACTTGTCCAATATGGTCACTGTAAAGGCAAGAAGAACATTTTCATCAATACGGCATCATAAATTAAAGTCTTCCGACTTCCTTTGGAAGACCTTACTGTTTTTTTATTATTATTATTCCCTTTTTATTGTACACACAATTACTCGGAAACTAGTCGACTGAATTCAAAGATTTTTTTCAGGAATGACTCAACATTTTCATATCTCCAGACCATTTTTTTTTTAAATCACTTCCGGTCACATATTTTGTCCTATTTTAATTTTTCAAATTGTCATTTTGTCCATGCATTTTCTTAGAAACAACTCCAGAAAGAGTCATGAAATTTTCAAGGAAGCTAGAACATCTCTTTCAGTTATGCATAACCTTTTTGTTTTTGCATCCATCACTTCTGGAAGTGATATTAAATTTAGCAATTTTTAAAAAAAATTTAAGTTTTGAATAAAGGTATATAGAACTAATGCTCATATAGATAATCAACAAGTACAATCTACTGGAAGTACTTCTGGTGTAAACCGGATGTAGTCGAAAAAGGAAACTTTCTCTTTAAAATCATTATAAATAGTGTAAAATGATCTGTAATTGAGTTTTAATGTTTTTTCTGGCCTTTGTGACTTTTGATATCAACTGGAAGTGACGACCTTATGGCTGAAAAAGTCCAAATTGAAATTGAAAGTTGTCATAAAATCTTTTTATTGTGTAATTTACATAAAATTTGCCTAAATTTTATTCTTATTAGGAAAAAAAATGTTAAATTTTTTTACCTTCAATGTTCATCGTCCATCAGAAGACCGTCTCGTTGCTTTGCAACGGGCTTTGCTCTATTTTTCTAATTATTATAAATTATGATTATTTATTTATGTATTTATGAAGTTGGATTGTTACCTCTCTCTAAATATATCAGCTGTATACTGTGGTCTGAGCTGTTTTATCACGTACTCCGTACTGACGTTCATTAAGTAGCTGAGGTCACTGGAGGTCATCGTCTTCTGTTGAATCTGTTTAACCCTCTCCTCTATACAAAACTCCTCAAATCTATGGAGAACTGCAAGTGGCCATCTGCAAACCTAATTAATCAAAAAAAATTACTTCAGTTCCAAACACTTTATATCTGTACAGATCTACGATTCTGTCACATGTTGTCTGGGTGACAGCTAACATGTCATACCTGTACAGATCTGAGATTCTGACATGCTGTGTGGGTGTCAGCTAACATGTCATACCTGTACAGATCTGAGATTCTGACATGCTGTCTGGGTGTCAGCTAACATGTCATACCTGTACAGATCTGAGATTCTGACATGCTGTCTGGGTGACCACTAACATGTCATACCTGTACAGATCTACCATTCTGACATGCTGTCTGGGAGTCAGCTAACATGTCATACCTGTACAAATCTACGATTCTGACATGCTGTCTGGCAAAGTAAAGGCTTGACTGTCTCCCTTGTGATGCAGTCAGCTTGTACACCAAATCCACAAAAACAGGTCTTGGCCATCTCATCCCAGGATTGAATCAATCTGCTTAAGTTTTCTGTCTAGTAAATAAAATTACTCAATATGGTTTTATATCAGAGAATTCTAAGCTTGCATTTTTGTTGATACATGTACATGCACTTCTATCTCAATGATCACTCTCATGTTAGAAGAATTAATTCATATTTGGTAAAGTCATTTTCCTTCAAATGTTTGGCATATCGGGTTGCATACATAAACATTTTTTGCAATGATTTAACTGTTATAGCCCGTATAACAAAGAATAAAAGACATTTCATTGTTTTTCTGCAATGTTGCAACCTTTATCTCACACAATTAAAAAAACAAAAAAAGCCTCTGATGTTGAAATGAATATATGTACCTTTATCAAACTTAACAATATTTGGGTAAAACTTGGATCAAACATCTTAGAAACATCTCCTTTTTCTAAAGCAGTCTGTATTTCAAATTGACTAATGGGTCCATTTTGAACGGTGCCCCCTTCTGTTTCATTCTTAAAGTCTGTTTCTTGCTTGGTAGAATTTTGCACTCCTGCAGACTTATCTGTTTCTGTTGCATTCTGAGATGCCTGTCTTTTACTTCTAGAAGTACCATTCTTTAATCCATCCCCTTGGGTATCATTTTGATAGGTAACACCTTCAGGTGTAGTTCCATTAGACTGAGTACTGTCAGCTGATGAATTGCTCTGTCCTTGGTTTTTTCCAGGCGTGGGGAGTACAGTAGAGATTTCTAAACTGTAAATCTGATCAATAGAATGTGATGATGGGGTTGACGTGTTACCAGACAAAATCTCATCTAGGACATCCCCCAGTTTTGTTGTTACCATTTTAATGAGAAATGTCTTCAGCACTGGACATGTTAGTTTTCTCTCATCAAGGACTAATGTTAAAAAAGAGAATTAAGAAGAACTAAAGAAAACAGTCTCTTCATGAAAAGTGTTATATCTCCAGCTATATTATCAGTGCAGAGTAGTATACAGGTAAACACTGGAATAAGTCAATGTTGGGGAAAACAATAAATGTTTTAACAATTATTTAAAAAAATGAATGTAAACAAGGTGAAGAGTGCTTGAAAGGCTTTCGTGTCATGGGGGTATATTGTGATTGATATTTTAAAAAAAACTTTTAATAAGCTGTCTATATAATTCATGTAACAGCTTCTTATAATAATTTATAACATCTCATTTAAATATGAAGGCAGTATATTATACCCATTACAACTAATTTGTCTATGTTTAAATACTGTTAAAATTTGAATCATGTAAATATAGACTGGTAGCTATTATAGACTAATCACCTGCATATCATATGGTCTAAAATTAATGTAGATCAATATTGCATTTTTTTCTAAAGAATTTATCTTCCAGATTAGATTTCAATACTCACACCTAGCATTCAGAACACTGGTAAGTTTATTTTTGGCAAACTCAGCAATATGTTTATATCTGAAGTTGTATCCAATGTTGGTTATAAAATCTTGTACAACATTTCCATTGGCATCAAAAGCTGTTCTGCATTTTGACTGTACACTAGCTTTCCTGCACTCATAAGGACATTTTAAGGATGGACATGTTGAATCAGCTGGTTGTGTATTAAGGAAGTCTGTGTTAAATGAAAATCAGAAATAATGTCACCTGAAATTCCAACTACACTTCTGTATAAACAATGATAAATTTAAAATTAAATGGTAATTAGCAATTAAATTTTGTAACAATACAATAACTAATATTTAAAGTCATAGAGGCAAAGAAGCTGTTATTATACCTTGGAACACTCTAGTTAAATATTTTTCCCAATTAATATATTTCCATGTAAAACTGATCCCCCATCCCCCCCCCCCCTCAATTTAAACCAAGTAATGAAGCCTTCACATAATAAAGTTTCATCTTTTCTAGATTCCATTAAATTTTCCTTTCACTCAAGGTGAAAATGAGCTGATTTTATAGAGCTCTGCATATTTTTAAAATATTAAAATATTTCTACATACATGATGTATGCGTACATCAGACTAAGACTCCAGCCCAGGATCGATTTATATTGGCTTGGCCAGATATTTGGACTGACTCCTTTACCGCCCCAGGCTTGCAGTACCAGAGTACCTTTGCTAGACCCTATGAATGGGCAAATGTACGCTGTATCCATTTCCTTACATTGTGAAAAGTCCATGGATATTGAAGAATTCCCATGCTAGCTAAAAATCTTTATTAATTTTGGGTTTCAGATTGACATTGGCCTGAGGAAAAGCGCTAAATCTGTCAAATGGACTTTACAAACCAGTTCTCTGATCCTTGGCAGTGCCAGTCTGGGCAAGGACACAAATGGATGAACTAACACACAGGATAAACGCTGCTGTCAATAAGAAAATGATTTATTTTAAATGACCCAGTAGGCTAATAAACGAGTGTGCTCTCTCAATTTCAAATTTTGTACCAAGACTACTAAATTTCTATTCTGGTACCATATTCTGAAATAATTTACGATGCTACTATGGGATTGATGCTATAAGTACAAGTACACTGAAAACTATGTATTGTTTGATAAACATATTTACATAATAACTAGTCTATAAGAATTTGAATATTACAAACCAACTGATTTAAAATCAGCCATGTTGTCGAGATACATGACGCAATATCAGACTTGTGACGTAGACTAAAGGCGGATCTACGGGAGTGGAGTAACATCGAGTTTCTGAGGGAGCATATTTCAATCAGTCGCCCGTCAAACAAGCCCGTAGCAACAGTTTCAAAAGTTGATGGATGGGTAAGGAAACCTCCCAAAAAAAAAAAATCTGACGGGCAAAAGAATTAAAAATTGAAAACAAAACAAATAAAATTTTTTTTTTTAAAAATTAACCCCCTTTAGGCCTTTAGTTCTTAACTGTCCAAATCCTGGAATTTGCTAGTGTTCGACCTTACAGCAACAAAAAGAGGGTGGGGGGCAACCAACATCTAAATGAAAATTTACTATAGCAAAATACTATACTCAGAAAAAAGTCCTCCCATCCCACCCTCTTCTCAGTATTCTACGGACCTGTCAAATTATATATTTTTCACTGAGTCACAGATCTACAGCTAATTTCAAGGCCATCGAAACAACAGGTGCGTTGGGTGCGATCGCACCTCCTTTAAAAACAAAATACTCAAGAATATCAGTAATTTTTAGAAGAAAATAAATTCATTATTCATCTTTTAAAAGCATTTGCTGCTCATTTAGCTTATTATTTGAAAGAATGACCAGAACCCACCAAATCTGGGCCCAGTTATGAAAATTTTCTGGCTCAGAGAAGGGGGAACCCCTCCCAGACCTTCGCACTTCTTCCCAGGAAAATGGCAACGGCCGCTGAATTGAATCAACATTGAGAGGGGAGAAATATATTTAACTTGACTGAATCTACAATACAAGGTTCAGAAAAAGTATTAATTCCACCAATCAATTCGAATTTGAAATAATCGAGGTGCAATCTGATAAAATTGTAATAAAGTGTACACATGTCAAAAAATTTAACATTACTTTTACCTTGGTCATAACAGATAAGGCTTTCATGTTTTACATTACATGTAACAAGACTTTTCCAAATATTCCATGATTTTCAACCCTGTGACCTTGACCTTGAAGTTTGACCTTTCTAAAATTTTAACATTGGTAAAAACTTTTAAATGAGAGAAGACAGGCCATTTGTATTTGACATGTGCATTACCAATGACAAGACATTTCTGAATATGCTATGGGTTTTTTTTTACCCCGTGATCTTGACCTTGAAGTTTGACCTGATTTAAAAAAAAATATATAACATTGGTGATAACTTTTGAATGACAGAAGAAAGAATGTTCATATTTGACAAGTACATTGGTAAGTGCTTTTGAATAAGAGAGATATGACTTTCATATTTAAATAAACATTACTTATGATATTACTTATGACAATACCTTTCAGAGAGGTATATCATTTTTGACTTCATGACCTTGATCTAGGAGTTTGAAGGACACACAAGCAAAACAGTTACAATATGCCATAAATAATTGCATCCCATCCACTAAGACACCAAAAGCGGGGGACCACAATTCTTCGAATTTGCTTGTTTATTCAGACTTTTGTTTAATTTTCTGACGTTTAAAAAAATGTAACAGGCGGCCACGAACCTATGCATTTTCTCTGATTATTAATCACATTAAAATATATTATGTGGAAATCAATGCTGTTATTTCATTAAAAGTGTGAAGATGGAGACACCTTAAACTGTACGTTATATATAGATATAACATTTGTTTCAAGCATAACACATTATTTAAAGACTGTGACCAGTTCCTATGTAGTACATATGGTACAGTGTGCATATATATTATTGTATATATGAATTTCGAGATAATTTTCTTCGTAGTTCGTCATTCGCATCAGAGCTAAGCGATATCATTTACTAAGTCAAGGTCAAACATAAGGGTTTTCTTTAGGCCATAAGGAGTTGTGATGTGTAATTTAATTGCAAAATCTCAAAGATTTTTTTAGGTATCATCCAAAAACAAAAGTGTTACACAAAAACAGAATTATGAATTTATGACCTTGACCTCTGAAGTTTTGACCTCAAAATCGATAAGGTTCTACAGGCCATAAGGGGTTATGATATTAAACAGAAGAGTGCTAATGTTTTGAGTCGGGTAATCTTCAGTCAGAAAATTTATCAAAGATGATCTAAAGTATTACACAGATAGACAGACATTTATCCAGAGATATGATTTGTTCAGAAATTCGGTCAATGGCCATTCTCTCGCTCTCTCACCCCCCCCCCCCACACACACTTTACTGTATATATAAATACATGTAGTTAAGATTTGTCCATAGCGCACGCATCTTGCCACAATTACTTTATCGATTTCAATATCATGATTTCTTGGACAAATTCATCAGCTTTCTTTCACTACTGCCTTAATGAAGCAATCATATTTTTTTTATATTCATAAATACAAAAAAGGTTAATGGCATTTAGAGACGTCACATATTCCATCATTTTGTCCATCCAAATTATCGACTGGTGAAGAACAGCGCACTGAAAATTCCGAACTATTATATCCGGACCTAATTGACTGTGTGGTGATGTGCTTAATTATTAATTATTTACGACGTACAAGTCTATAGGTAAATTCATTACGTTCTTTTAATCATGGACCAACTTTGTCGTTAACCTTTTAAAAGCACTGTAAAGATGTTTCTGATCAGAACATATTGGTTCTCATTGTCGACTAGAAAATAACAAAAACACTTCCCAAAACATGTATGGGGGATTTTAGCATAAATCTAAATTTCTCTTTGTTTTTTGTTGTTGTTTTGTTTGTTTGTTCTAAACGCATTCTAATATTCTTGCGCCATAAAAAACGTGACGTCATAATCATAAAATCTTGGAATATATTAAAAACACGACTAATTAAAATAAAATTTATACATTTAATTAAGTGATTCAGTTGAAGAAAATTGCAAGCATTTCTGTTAAACAATGGAATAGAAGACTGGAACTCACTACCTCACCAGATTAAATCAATTAACAATGAATCTAGGGCTGGGTATCGGTTGGAAATTTCGTATTGCGAAATATTGCGATATTTGGAACTGTATTGCGATATGTATTGCAATGTTTTTAATAACAGTTAAAATGCTCTTTTCTTATTTTTTAACCTCCATTTATAGCAGAATGTATAAAACTTTTATAAATACGTTGTAACAAAAAAGTTCTATTTGATTTCACTACAGTTTGGCAACGAAATGCAACCATACAACAAAAACCTTTACCGTTTGGTACTGTTTGGCACGATTGAAAACGTTTCTGACATCTTAAATTTTATATTTTACTTCATTAATCTAAAGACCAATCATTTTGCCGGTATATCGGTACTTGAAAAACGTATCGCAATACGATGTTTATTGTTAACAAATTGCAATATACCGGAATATCGATATTATTGCGCAGCCCTAAATGAATCGTATGAGGGGCCGCTTGGTATTAACTGCCATTAAGTGATATCACCTCTTCAATTGCTGATATCACCTATTCGAATAGGCACGTGATATCACCTTTTCAATTTAATTGAGTAATATCACCTACTCAAATCAGCACCTATTCGAATAGGTGATATCACTATAAATGGCAATAAATACCAAAACGGCGCCTCAGAGAATCGACATTTAAAAAAGAGGTCAACTGTTTTAATGGATTATAAAATGTCTAAAGATGACTTTTTATACTATTAGAATTATTACTCAACTGTTCTTTTTCTTTCTTTTACAATTAAGAACCAGGGGTCCGTTTTACAAAAGAACTTACGACTAAGACCAAAAATTTGAGATAATTGTAAAATCTTGCACGATGGATGTTTCAATTACAATTTGCCAGCATAGATTTATCTTTCTAAATCCGTTTTCAAAAGATTAAAACTGTTGTCACGTTAACGAAAAAAGGAGAGTTATTTGCAAAATTACATTTTGGTCTTAGTCGTAAGTTCTTTTGTAAAACATGGCCCAGTACTTTTTATTTACATTGTAATTTGTGTTTTAAGTATATTGTGTGTGTCTTATGTAAGTAATTTATAAATTACATGTAAAATGACTTCACTTGGAATAAGCCAAACTGGTTTTCATTGGCCCTTGGGTTTGGGCATATACAACATATATTTCTATACATGTAATTAATATAAACATAAGATTTATTGTTAAATCACTTTTAAAATTTATTGTCCCCCGCTTCTGCCATTAAATCTCATTCATCTGTCCGTCTGTCAGTCTGTACACCTGTTTATCTGTATAAACGTGATGACTTTAACTTTTCAATCGTCAACTTCCCTTACTTATGTAGCAATATACCCTTATCACCTGCATATGGGGTTTATGTCTCCCAGTTGATTCGATACGCAAGATCATGCTCTACGTATGAACAATTTCTAAAACGAGGCAAGCTATTGACAAACAAGTTGATGAAACAAGGATATCAACAGTCTCGTTTGAAGTCATCATTTCGCAAGTTTTACGGTCGATACAATGACCTTGTCAGCACATACAACCTATCATTGAGTCAAATGCTGCCTGACGTTTTTCACACTGTTAGGCCATTATTTATACGCTGAACTGTCTTCGGATTTTTCCGGGGTTTTTTTCCCCGATCATGACAAGAAGCACACGGCGGGTGTGACCGGTCGGCGGCAGGGGATGCTCACTCTTCCATGGCACCTGATCCCACCTCTAAATTTTGAGGTCCGTGTTTGCTCTGCTCAAAAATTTGTATCGTTTCATTGGATTTTCAAGACTGAATACTGTTCGTTATCTTCATATTTCATTCAACTAATTTACAGGAAAGTATAATATATCTGAGACGTTACGAATGTTGGTGCCATTTTACAATTTTAGTTCCTGACCTATTGAACCCATCGATGATTTGAAAAAAGAAAAAAAAACTCGCAAAATGTGTGATTTTGGTATGAATGGATAGGTTTTGAATACAACTACCCGATTCCAGTCAGAAAATAACATTTAGATAAATTTATGCAAACTATAGAATTTTACAGCGCAAAAAAGGTATTTTAAGCGTGTAACGCGTTACATTTTTTAAGCAGGGACCGCGCTTTTTT